CTGACTGGGGTAAGACCCGCACAAGAACCTGGGGTCACTTCCCGAATGCCACAAGGGCTGCTGGGAAAGACGTGGTGGGCAGATATCCTTTCCATCTCTCGGTTTATTTTTATTTTTGTTGTTCAAAATAAAAATGTGGGGACAGTATCCTGTGTTTGTGTGTATAATTGTATTTTGTGTTGGCTGTTTGGGGAATTGTATTTTGTGTTGGCTGTTTGGGGGTCTGTTCTTATATGTTTTGTGTTGTATGTTGTCTATGGCACGTGCTGTGTATGTATATATATGTGTGTGCTGTGTGTGTCTATGTGAGGCTCAGGGACTGTAGGGGAGCTGATACGTGTGGAGAGGCAGTGGGCAGGCAGAGACTTCCTGGGGTGGCAGTGGGCTGCCTGGGGAAGTTGGGGAGGAGAATCTTGCTCTAGACACTGGACGTGGGGCCCCAGAGGAGGGGTCCAGGGCAGTGGAATGTGTTTGGGGCTTGAACCAGCGTGAGCCAGACTGCAACCTTGTCCAGCTCAGCTGTGGTGCCCCAAAGGCCCCAGCGGGTTCAGTGGCCAAGCCACACCCATGGCTCAACCAGGTCTCACTTGTCAGTGTGGGAACCTGAGCTCCCGGGCCCAAGGCACCTGCCTGGGGTGCAGCCAGGGAGGGTGAGTCCTCACGTGAGGCCTCTTTGATTGTCCTTGCCCCTCCCCCCATCGCCTTGTGGCTCTGGGCCAGGTGTTCTCATCTGTGAAAAGCAAGTCCAGCCCACCTGCTGCCCATTTGCCTGAAGGCCGGGGAGGTCATCCTTAGGGTCCCAGGGACAGATGGTGCTGCTCAGGGAGGCCAAGGGCATTCACCTGGACAGACCAGGCTGCCCCACTCCCCACCCGGCCCACCTAAGTTAGACCCCTCAGGGCCCCAGTCCTTGGCCCCTCTGACAACCCCTCCTTCCCTTAAAAATCCTGCTCCCAGGCTCTCCGGGGCCTCCCCCAACTCACACCTCGGGGTCATACAGACAGCCCCTCCCCTCCCAGATGTGGGCAGAGCCTGGGAGCCAAGCAGGGAAGGTGCCACATTATGTCTCTGCACCGCCCCCCGCCACCTGCTCATTGTACCTTCCTGCTCCATCATGACCCTCTGTTTCCCAGGCCTCCCTGACTGGACCAGGACCTCCCTGAGAGCAGCAACAAGTTAGATTCGGCTGAGGCCCCTCACAGGCCCCGAGAGGCTGGCATACAGTCGGCACTCACTGACCCTGGTGGCCAGCCAGCTGAGTGGAGGCTGGCCTGGGACTTCCTGGAGCTCAGAGACCGTGTCTGCCTCACTCAGCACCCCGAGGCCTGAGGCAGGGGAGCTGTTCAGTAAGTAAGTACTTGGAGCTAATAGAGGTGATACTAGTGCTAACATTTATTGAGTGCCTACTGTGTACCAGCTGCTGCTCCAGCACTTGACACTTTTTAACTCTGGCTCCTGAAGAGGGGCTCTGATGGGCGAATGGAGTAGAGTTGGTTTAACTAAGCTGGGGTGCTGGTGGCAGCTGCCAGCAGATGCAACAGGGACGCCTGGTCCCACAGCAAAGCTCTCAAGGTTGCCCTTAGGATCTGTAACTTGTAACCTCTATACCCACCTCGGGCCTGAGCACAGACTGAATGCCCAGACCGATCTCTGCAGGATGTCAGCTAATCAGTTTACCCAAAAATGTGCAAACTAGAATTACTATGCCTGACTGCATTCCCCCTCCCCTCACACAAATTCTGTTTTTATCTCTGTGCACCGAAATCAACCTATTGGTGGTGTCCCTTGTACAGAAGTAAACAGCAAGTTAATAATCAGCTAAATGCCTTGGGGTTATTCTTTGTCACCGATAGCAGCCCTGGAGGGATGGGTCTGTGATTGTCCCCATTTTACAGATGAGGACATGGAGGCTCAGGGAGGCTAAGTAACTTGCCCAAGGCCACACAGGTGGTAAGTGGGGAGAGAGATCTGCCCCAGGCACCCCCACTTGTTCAGACCCAGTGACTGGATGGCCCTTCCTCTCTCAGACCCAGCCCCGAGCCAGGAAAACTACACTTCAGTGGTCAGGGTGTGAGCCGTGCCACCCTGCCCTTCCCTGAGGTGACCCCTGCTGCTTTGTCCATCCCTGAGGAAGGATGGCTAGTCCTATGCCTGCTTGTCCCCCTAGGGACTCCACTGAGGGCCAGAGCCTGCACCCCCACACACTCAGATCACCTCTGGGACTGCCCAGAGCCTACAGGGGAGGGTGCCAACTACTCTGCCTGGTGTTCGGACTGCATTTGGCCCACTCCTCACTGTCACAGGCCTCCCAGCACAGGCCCTCTCGCTCTCTCGGTCTGCCTGGCCATTTCCCTGCTCCGGGAATCGGAAAAAAGCTCTTCCTTCCCAGGGATCCTTGGGACCCCATCAGAATCGTCCTTTCTCCTGACGGCCTTCACTACACTTTGCCAGGGGGTCTCTAGGCCTGTGTCATCCCGTGCAGGCTTGGTGTTCCCTGACTGGGGGTCCAGCACAGAGTCCCTTCACAGCCCCGGCCCCCAGGAAGGGCCTGAGCACACAGGGTCCCAGGATCCCCAGGCGGCTCCCCTGGGGAGGGATGTTTCACAGCATGTGCACCTGCGTTTGTGAGTCACTGCACCAGTGACACAGGGGCTGGTCTTCATGTGCGTGAAGGTGCGCATGCATTCACACCCATGCCCGTGTGTGCACAGGCCTGTGCGGAGGGGCCTGAGTGTGCAGTCGGCACTGTCTGTGGGTGTCGTGTGTACACGTAGGGTTGTGTGCTCCGCAGTCTGGGTATTTGTGTGCATCTGTATCTGTGTGTGGGCCTAGGTGTGCACAGCTGTGGCCAGGGTGTCTGGGGTCGGGCTTGGGGGCAGCCTTCCGGGCTCACGCCTGTGCTGCGGTGAGGGTGGTGCACGGTGCCTTCGCCTGGGCTCACTGGCTCAAAATCCTCCTGCCCGAAGCTCCAGCCCAGCCCACCTCTGCCCTCTGCTACCAGCTGCCGCCTTTGGAAGCAAAAGGAGGTGCCTCTCGGAGCAGCTGGCTGGGGGCAGAATTGCCCGACAGTGGGGTGGGGGGGCACACCTGCCCTGGTGAGTCTGCTCAACTGGAGGACCTGGCTTTTGGAGTCGGGCAGGACAGGACAGGGTTAAATGTTAGCTCGGCTTCTTTCTGTGAGCCTCAGTTTCCTCATCTGTAAAATAAGGTGACAATCTGCTGGGTTACTGGAGGACTGGATGGGGTCTGGTTTCCACAGTAGATGCTCACTCACTGGGAGCTGCGGCGATTATGAAAATAATCATTATTATTACAAGTCCGAGGGTCTGCGTCTAAGGAAGGGCCCTGAGGAGTGGGCCGACAAGATGTCTGGGAGTGTGGTGCCCCCAAGTCTGTGGAGGGTGAGGATGGCCGTGGGTGGAGCCATGGAGGGGGAGGGCGAGTGGGCTGCCCTGGTGAGGCGACAGAGTGGGGCTAGGTGGCCGGGGGGATGCACCCAGCCTGGGGCACGAAGGCCGTCCTGTGCATATGAAGCCATGTGGGCGTGCAGGGGCCCCCAGCTGGGCCCTAGGACAAGGATGATGAGCACCTGTCCAGGGGACAGCATTGGCGACAGTGGCTTATTGTCCCAAAGCCCTCGCTGATGCCCCGCAGGCTGCTGGGCCTCTTCCCTGTCGCAGCCACGCCTGCCCAGGGGCTTCTCCAGGGCTCCATCTGGGTTTCTCCTTTGCCCTCCTGGCCTTACGTGTTGGCTCGGTCACCCTTGGAGAGCCTCTTCCAGGAGAAGGAGGCTGGGCTGGCTGCCATGCCCAGGTTGGCTTCCGGGAGCAGGTGGAGTCCTCAGATAGAGTCTCGTCTTTTCAGGGCCTGAGGCTGCCCCGTCTGGCCAGGGTGACACAGGACCACCATCCTAGTGCTTGTCTGCCTTCTGCTGCCGCAGGGCTTTCAGGAAGACCCCTTTCACCTGGCCCAGGGTCTCGTGGTACATACGGAAGTCCTCCTCCTTTCCCCGCAGGGCGCTGCCCAGGGCAGCCTTCAGCATTTCATTCTCCTCCACCTGGATGGCCAGCCTGGACCACACGGAGAAAGGGCTCAGTGCAGCCTGAGTGGGCGTGTGTGTGTGTGTGTGTGTGTGCGTGCGTGTATCTGTGTGTGTGTGTGCGCGTGCGTGTGCGCGTGTGTGTGTGCATGTGTGTGTGTGTGTGCGTGAGTGTGTGTCTGTGTCTGTGTGTGCACGTGTGCATGTGTGTGTGCATCTGTGTGTGTCTGTGTGCGCGCGTGTGTGTGTGCGCGCGCGTGTTGTGTGTGTGTGTGTCCATGTGCGTGTCTCTGTGTGTGTGTGTGTGTGTGTGTGTACACAGGGCCCTGGCTGCTCTTCAGGCTCAGGGTTCTCTCTGACCTGACCCTTGGGGGAATACCGTGTGGGATTCCTCTCTAGGCCCGCCCACAGCCCTGGGCCTGGCACCTGGTAGCTCCTCCAAAGGTTGGCTGCCTCGGGGATGGTACGAATTTGTAGAGATTCCCCCTCCTTCCTTTCCCATCATTGCATTTGACCCTGAAAAGCTTAACTTAGTGAGAAAAGTGGGTTCAGCAACCCATGCTTAATAAAACATCTCTTGGACTTTTGGGGTCATCAGGGTTATGGCTGGGCCCCTCTGTCCCCTAATAATGAGTCGTGAAATTACAGGCCCACAACCCAGGGCCCAGCAGGACCAGCCTGTTGGGCAAACAGAAGTCAAAGGGGAGGGACATGATCCTTGTGCCCATCGAAGCACCTCTCCCCAGACAATGCCACCCGCAGGACGACGGGGCAGGGAGCACCTGGTGGTGAGTTCCTCCATCTGGGATTCCACAGGCACGTTGGAGAGATGCGCGAAAGGTGGGTCCTTCCTCTCGCTCCCATCCGGGTTGTGCCTGGTGTTAGCGGCGGGCAGACCTGTGGGGCAGCAGCAGCCACTGTCTGGTCTCGCAGACCGTGGCCTGTGACCACGCGCCTTCTCCTCCCACAACTGCCCGCTTCCTTCTTTTCCTCTTGTTAAAATATTATACCTCCTTCCAGGTACAGAACAAGGGCTGCCTCCCTCGGGAAGGCTTCCCTGACGCCTGCTCTGTGTTCCCCTGAACCCTGGCTTTGGCCTCTGATATAGCCCTGACTTTGCACCAAGGAGCCTCCTCTCGTTACTTTCTCTATCTTTATACTTGACGAATTTCTGGAAGGTAGCTGGGCCTGAGGTCTGGCCTGCAGGTTGAGCCTGGGTCTTGGCTGTCACTTCGTCTGATGCCCTCATACCACTGGGTGCCCCTCCTTTAGTCCCTATCCCAGACATACATACAGGGGATCCGGGGCGGCTGGGGCCACGGACCACAGAATGCTCAGAAAAAGAAATCAAAGCCCAATTTGTGGGGCGCTTGGGCATGATCAGAGCATTCAGAAAACCTCTGTGCTCAAAAAGACGCTCAGAGGTGGTGTGGCCCAGGGGAAACCACCTGGCATCAGCAGACCCCGCTCCCACCCCCTGCTGTGCGGCCTCAGGTAAACCATCAACCTCTCTGAGCTGGTTTCCGCATCTGTGAAATGAGGATAATAGTTCTGGCCTCTGGAACTTTGTGAGGCCTGAGTGAATTCACACTTGGTCCCCAAGACCTTGTGTGACTGGACCGTCTTCCTCGGCACCTCACAACTCCTCCGACCTCACCTCACATTCCCCTCCCCTCACTGCGCTCCAGCCTCAGTGCGTCCTTGCTGCTCCTCCAGGCCTGCTGTCAAGCTTCCAGCCGGGGCCTTGGCGTTTGCTCTCCCCTCAGGTATCCTGTGTCTCGTCCCCCACTCCCACCATCTCTGCATGGACGTCACCTTGTCCGGAAGGTCCTCACTGGTCACCCCACAGAAAACGGCTGCTCTTTCAGGTCTTCTAGCCTCGTCCTCGGCTTCAAGCCATAGCTTCTCCCTCCATCTACCCTACCATGTTTTTTACTGGTTTATCTGTCTATTGTCTATCTTTCTCACTGGAGTGGGACTGCCACGAGGGACCAACTTTCAGAATCGGGTCTCCCCGTTTTACAGACTGGGGAGTGTGCTATGTTCCCCAGAGGAGCATTGCTCTGCCCATGTCATGGGCCAGCAGGTGGCAGAGGCCACATGGACACTTTCAGGCAGTTGTCCCTCATTGTTCAGGCAGGATCAAAGTGGTTTTTCCTGCTGTGGCTTAGCCCTCCCTGGCTGGGAGCCTGGCTGCTTAGCAGGGGGTGAACCCAAGGCCTGGAGACACCACATCCCTGGGGGACCTGTGCCTGAGGGTCCAGGGGGATCAGCAGGGCTAAGCCCCAAGACCTCCCTCAGCCTGGCCTCTCAGCAATGCCTGGAGGCCCCGGAGCCCGGGGCCCCACTGGTGAGGGAAGGCAGAGGGGCACAGCGTCCCCTTTGTCTCTTTTCTGGACCATCTTCCTCAAACGTTCTGATCTTATCTGGGCTGAAAACAAAAGTCTGAGTGTCCTTAGCTGGGGGAGAAATGCGGAGAGGCAGGGCAGTGGGGGCAGCACGTGGACTCCGGAGCCTGAGGGGGTTGGGATGGGGGTGTCCGAGGGAGGCAGGACTAGCCCCTCCACACTGGAGATGCTTGCTCCCGGGGAGTCGCCACTTCAGAACTGGCTTCTGGCTCTGGCATCCTGTACCCTCAGCTTGGCCAGCCCCATAAGATGCTAAACGTTGCTGATCTGGGGGGCTGTTCCTTGAGATCCACTGTGTTAGAGCAATAGACCTTTTAGTTTAGGACAACTAAACCTCCCTCACAGCTGGGTGTGGTCAGAGGACTAGGATCTGGCCAAGGGGCTGAAAACAGAAGTGACACAAGCAACCTCAGGGTCATTCCCTTAAAAGGCAAGCAGCAGGTTGCCCCCTTCCCTTCTCCCCTTCTGGCTGCTGGAGGCTGGGAAGCTGAAACGGCCACCTGAGACCATGAGATGGAGGCTGGGTGTTGAGGTTGGTGGAGCATAAGACAGAGGCGCCCAGGTCCACAAGCCTGTGGAGAGGCCACTGCATCCCTGCTTACAGCTGCTGCAGGAGGCAGGAAGGGACTCCTGGTCGGCTGCTACTGCTTCAGCCTCCCCAGACGACCAGCTTCACCCCTACACCAACTTTGAACAAAGTCAGCTCAGGACAGAGGGTTGAGGGTTGGGGTGTGTGTGGGGGGGGCAGTGGCTGAGGGCATTCAGCGAGGGCCCTGCCACCTTACGCTAAGGGCCCCAGGTGAGGTGGGCCAGGGCCATCTGGGCCAATGGTGCTCTGGGGCTCCTGGTTCTGACTAGGAGGCCAGGGGAAAAGGACACTTAGCACCAGGGGCAGGCAGAGCCTCTGCTTCCCACGTTCTCCCCACGGGGCTGAACGGTGCTGCTGACTGGCTCCTCCGTTAGCCACAAGGCTTCGCCGCCCCATCAGCCCCTGGGACCCCTCGTCCAGCCCCTACCTGTTTTGCTCCTGGAAGCTGCTCTCTGAGAGGTTGATGTCCTCCCCGGCTCCAGGCGCATCTTCTCCAGATGTTGCTCCAGCACCACAGTGCGATGCCTCTCCTCCTGCAGCTTCCTCTCTGACTCCAGAAGCTTGCTGTTGCTCTCCTCCATCCTGGTGATCAGAGAGGAGGGGCTGCCATCCCCGCTGGCAGGCAGGGGCAGCCCCCACCCCACCTGCTCAGGCTCTCCAAGAGGTGGGCACATCTTACCCTGGTGACGGTGGGACTCGTTCTTTACTTTTATTGCAGTAGCCTAGGAACATGCATTTAAAAACCCCATCGTTCTCTCCAATGAATGAATGAAAAAGTCTGCACGCTCCCCACTCTTCCTCACTCCCAGTTCCTGCTTGCCAGAAGCAACCACTTCTAACACTTTAAGCTGCTCCTGTGACTATTTACTGCCTGATTTCCACAGATGTGTGCGCTGCTATTTTTTTTAAGGCTTAAATATCATCTTTTGACTTCCGGCCATGCAACACGAGAGTTTAGTTTTATTTCAGTACTCTCCCCTCACCAAACAGAATCGCCTCTCCGCTTCCCAATGTGGTTATATTACCATTTTTTGGCTGAATTAATATTAGGTGGTGTATTAGTTATCTACTGCTGCTGTAACAAATTACCACAAATGTAAATAGCTTAAAACGACAGAAATTTATTATGTCACAGTTCTGTAACTCAGAGGTTCAGCAGGTTCTGTTGGTTTCTCTGCTCCAGGTTCCAAATGCCAAAATCAAGGTGCTGCTGACCTGGGCTCTTACCTGGAGGTTCTGGGGGGAGAATCCACTTTTACCCTCATTCAGGTTGTTGGAAGAATTCAGTTCTAGTGGAAGGACTGAGGTCCCTGTTTCGTGCTAGTTGCTGGCTGGGTGATTATCATCTTTCAGAGGCCACTTGGTCCCCTCCATTTTCAAAGCCAGCCAGGTATCCTTACCAGGCTGGAATCTCTGTGACTTCTCCAGTGTCTCAGCATCTCACTGACTGACCCCAGATGGGACATTTCTCTGCTTTAAAGGGCTCAAGTGATTAGATTGGGCCCACCTGATAATCCAGGGTAATCTTCCTATTTTAGGGCCCATAACGATCATTACATCTGCAAAGTCCCTTTTGCCATAGAACATAAGACATTCACAGGCACAACAGCAAGAGCAGGGGAAGGGGAGACAAAATCCTGGCACCCACAGGGGTGACATTTGAAATGTAATGGTTACGTTTCCTTTCTCACTTGTTTGCTTTCCTTGGAGTTAGTGAATGCTTTCTGTTTTATTATTGATGATCATTATTTGCTATATGCCTGTCATGAATTCATGGGCTTTGAAGACCCTGTTATTTGGTTATTTCACATGAAGGATTTGTTTCATCTCACTGGGGCTGGGGCTGGGGCTAAGCTTGTCGCTGGTGAGGTGTGGCATTTGAGGCTTCTGTGACAGACACTAATAACTCGGCCAGAAGGCCAGGACTCCCCAAGATTTAACCCAGGCAAAGGTTACATACACACATGCAAATCAGAGGGGCAGCCTGGAAATTCAGTGTTGGAGGAAGTGGTCTTCCCATCTTGGTGAAGAGTTAAGACGGCACTGAATGGTGACATTTCTGAACACTAACAATTACTAACACAAAACTGAGTACTAACACAGCACACAGCCACTAACACAACTTGTTCGAGTATGTTCCTTGAAACTTTATTTGCAAAAGCAAAAAGACTCAACTTAAAGGTCCAGCAACAGGGAAAAGACAAAATAAGGAGTAACATACTCCTACCCTGGAATATGATAGAAAATGATAGAGCTGTGCTTTCTAACACAATGGCTGCCATCTTCGTGTCCACTGGGCAGCTATTTAAATGGAAATGGGTGAAAATTAAATAAAATGAAAAATTCAGGTCCTCAGTCACACTAGCCACATCTGAAGTGCTCAAGAGCCACATGTGGCTAATGGCTACGGCACTGCCCAGCACAGATACAGAACATCTCATCATCACAGAAAGTTCTACTGGATGGCGCTGCACTAGCAATGAAAAAGAGGGAGGTAGAGCTATACATATGTACAAACATGGATGGATCTCCAAGTCGTGGGACTGGTGAAAAAAAGCAAGTGCCACAAGAATACATATTCTACAACACCCTTCTGTAAATAAATGGTAAATAAATCATAGTGGATGAACACAATAAAAGACTCTGTATCCATAAAAAGAATATGTACTGACATGAAGAGAATGTCTGCGATATATTATTAAATGAAACAAGCAGACGATTATGCATAACATATGATCTAATTTTAAATTTTCTAACAAGTTAAAAAAATTTAAAAACAAATACATACTAAGGCTAACATAATCCAGCCGATGAACTGAAAGGGAGGACTATGCAGTGGGCACTGACTCGTTATCTGTGGGAGACGGGCTTTCATTTTTCTGTTACGTGTTTCAGCAATGCTTGTGTTTCGTTCAAGTGTGTATTCCATTTGCGATGGGGAAATAATAAAAGAAACTAACAGCACACAGCATATAAAATGCTAAGGCACTTTATGAATGCCCACAAAATTTAGGAATGACCAAACTCTGGATTTCTCCACTTCCCCCCGAAATGTGCCTTCCTCATCTTGATAAATGTCACCATCACTCATGCAGGAGTTTGGTTGAAAAACCTGGGAGTCGTTCTTGCCTTGTCTTTCTTCCTCGCTGCTTTCGGCTTCCAGTTCATCAAGCAGGCCCTACAGCTTTTCCTCCAAACGCGCCTAGCCAGGCCCTCCTCACTCTGTCACCGTCACCAGCGGCCCGGCCCGGCGGTTGGCTGCTCTGCCGGCCACTGCAGATTTCCGTTTCTACTCCAGACATCTCAGGCCCATTGGAGCGCTGGTTCTCTTTTGACCAGTCCTCCGTCTCACCGTTTTTCTTCTTTATTCAGTCATTAACTGGGCTCATGAATGCAGCTAGATCTTTGTTTGTCAATGGCTTGCAGTGTGATTCTCACAGCTCGCCAACACCACGTGCATCAACCTCATGAAATTCCAAATATTTTCTAAAGTTTGCCTACTTGGTAATTGACTTTCATTCTATTTCGAGAGTTTGACCACATGGACCCAATGGCCATGAGAAGTGATGAATATTAAGCAGTCAAGTAATTAGCCAATGTTTTGATGTTCAAATTTTTGCTTTCGTGAGGATTGTAACTATTGGGGTGCTGATAGAGAACACTCAGATAAGGAGGTTCCTGCTACTCAGGAATTAATTTAATACAAATGATACACAATCTTTATGAAGACAAACACACTGAATATTGTACATTATGTTCATAATTTGTAAAGAGCTCTCTTTATACATGTAAAGAAAAAATAGAACTCACTAAAAAATGAGCAATAGTATAAATAAGTTTTTAACAAAAAAGAACATGTAAAAGGTCATAAACATGTGAAAAATATACTCATCCTCACTTTTGGCTATAGCAAAGTAGATAAAAATAACAATGAGATATTAGTGTTTCTTTATTAGTTTGGCAAAAATGTTCAAGGTTGATAAAACTCAGTATAGGGGAGCATATGGTGAAATGGTTGACAATTCACATTATTGGTGGGAATATAAGCTGATTCATTTTAAAAGGGCAATTTGCCATTATTTGTAAACATTTTACATGTGCATATTCTTGGATTCAGTGATTCCACTGTTAGAAATTTATGATACAGATACAATCCCACAAAAATGTAAAGATGTATTTAGTGTGAGTACATCTTTTAATAATATATGTGTGTGCATACACATGTATACACGTATTTTTGGATATGCAAAGAAAAGATTTTGAAAGTTCTAATAGTTCTTTTTGATGAAGAATGGGGAACTGCGAGTTGGAAAAGGAAGCTTTTTGCAGTAAGTGAGTATATAAGTAAGTATACGTGTGTAATAGTGAAACTAACACAACTTCCAGTAGCGTGAAGCAGGGGTTTTCATGCCAGTGTGAGAGCAGAGGACATGCACTTGGGGTCATATGAGGCAGCAAACTGCACATGAGCTCTCCGCATAATTCTGGAAGCCTCAAAAGAGTGCCTTGTTTCTGATAAGAGGACTGAGACAGTATCCATCTATAAGCCAGGCAAAGAAGCTTGCAGTGTACCAGGGCTTCCGTGGAGGAAAAAAAGCACCAATCATGAGGAAATTGAGCACAAGGCCAGCACTCATGTGTTCAGGAAATCCTACAGTAAATTAGCATACAGTACCAATCAGAGACCATCCGAACCCCCCGAATCTCCATGGGAACAAAAGCAGAACCATTCTGTAGGTGCACTTTCATAGCCTAAGATCTCCCACAAGAAAAAAACACACTGAAGATAAGCTCAGAAAAACAACACAAAAATACAAACCACATGGGGGAGATAATTCACCATGAGGACAAGTCAACCGATGTTACTTAGGACCCCGAGTAAGGAAGATGATAGAGCAACTTTAAAGGGGCTAAGTCAGCTTAAAATTATTTGAAAGAGGGCCAGCGGAGTGGCTTGTTGATTAGGAGTTGGCTTGGACGCCAGCTCTGAGCAGCAGGGCCCCAGTTCAGATCCCACATGTGGGCCAGTGACGTTGCGCCCTCTACAGATGAGATGGTGAACAACAGCTCTACCTGGAGCTGGGCTGCCGTGAGTCGCCAGCAACGGCATAGGCTGCAGTGGGGCTGGCCGGCAGCGGGCGTGAGCTTTTGGGAGCTGCCATGAGCCACCATGAACAGCCATACAATGGCCGGCAAGCGACTGCCTCACCCGGGAAGAGAGCAATGATAATGGGCCAGTGAAGCGACTTTCTCCACAACTAGACTGAAGAACAAAAGGACAGCAACTTGTCTGTTCCCCTCCCCCAACTCCCCAATTAAAAAAATCTTAAAAAATAAATAAAATTATTCAAAAGAGAAAGGCAAGAAATCTAGATGAAAGGACAAATGCTATAAGAAACAGAATAGGAGATTTTGCACAAAAAAGAATGGCTAGAAATGAAAAATACTGTTATTAAAATGGGCTTCATGGTGGGTGGAGTGCAATTAAAGGGATTGAGAGAGCCGGGAGACAGATCTGAAGAAACCACCCAGTAATATTAAGAAAATATTAAGAAAGTTTAAGAGTGGAGGAAAGAATAAGAAGGTCTAACATATGCGTATGTTGACTAGAAGTTTTAGATGAGAAGTGTAGGGACAACAGGGAGAGGCAATATATGGATGAAAATCCTCAGATTGAAAAGCACACTAACTCCTAAATAACAAAAATAAAATACCTAGACACATCATAGTGAACCTTCAAAATATCAAAGACAAAGAGAATATCTGAAAAAGCAGACAGAGAGAAGGGACACATCTACAAAGTGACACCAAACTGACAGCACATTTCTTTTTGGCAACAGCGGATGCTCAAAGACAATCGACTATCATAGCCTCCAAGTGCTGAGAGAAAAGGCCCATCTCTCTGGAATTCTACGGCCAGCTAAATTCTCACTCAAGAGAAAGGTAAAACAAAGACACTTATGAATAAACAAAGACTCAGAGTTTGCCATTCACGTGGCCTCACTGACTAAAGGATGCACTTCAGTAAGAAGGTATCTGAGCCCAGAAGGGAGACTGACAGGCAAGAAGCAACAGTGAGACAAGACGTTTTTCAAGCATGTTGGCAAAAGTAAATGAATACTGACTATTATTCAAGAAGACAAATTTGGAGGGTGAATTTCAGAGAGGTAAAAAAAAAAAAAGAATGTGGAAGAGAAATATTAGAAAACAGTAACATGAAAGTCACAAGCAAGGAAATCAGAGATACGTCAAGCCACGCATGACCAACCCAGAAGCCTGTGGGTACAACTTGGAATTCAGGGACAAAGCTCTGGGGTGCCTCAGGACCCAGAGAGAAAAGGCCAGGCTAGGGTCAGGATAGCAGTGTGGCACTGCTCACCAAGGAAAGCTTTACAGTCAGATAAACCTGGTTCGAATTCAGTTGTATGGTCTTGGATGACCTATCTAACTAAGTAGAATCTTAGTTTCCCCTTCTCATGCGTGAATCACACATGCATGAGGGTGAGTGCCTCCTTATACTCTGAGCCCTGGGTGCCTTGCTTGCCTCACCTTAATCCCAGCTCTGCCTGGAGAGGCTCTGGAAGATGCCTCACCATGTGGAGAGAGACAGGTCCCTGAAGGAGAACTGAGCGCCCCTGCTGAGCTTCTAGCTGAATGGTGCCGAGCAACTGATCCTAGCTGGCGTTATGTGAAGCAGAATCTCCCAAGCAACCCACAGAATCATGAGAAAGAAGAAACCACTGTGTTTGAGGCCACTATGTTGGGGGTGGTTTCTTTTACAGCAATAGACAACAGAGTCACCTTGGTTCACAAGACCCCCCCCCAAACCCCAGGTACAACTCAAAGGAAACGGGAGAGAAAGTCTGAATGGAGTGTGTTTCTTCCATCTGATAGACTAGGCCAGAGGCTTGTACTATCCACTGCATTTCAACGACAGAAAAAGAATTATGGTTACTTTTCTCATATACCCGAGTATGTCTGAAAGTTAGGTCCTTTCTATGTACTACAGGAAAGAATTAAAGCCGATCACGCTCACTGCTGAGGTGGTGGCCATCTGTTGACCACTTCCCAGTGTCCCAAATGCCTTCTTTGGAAAGAGTACCCTTTCCTTCTCTTTGACAAAACTGTGTACCCCTCTATCTGTGAGCACCTGGAGATACTTCCAGTCAAGGTGCCTGGCCTGTGTCCAGGGATGCGAACAACCTAGGCCAGCTAGATTCTCTCCCCCAGAACCCACTGGCCCTAGAACTGAGAGCCACTGGGCGTGCGCCATTCCAGGGGCCCAGGGGAGACCACCCGAGGGTTCCTGCTACTCAGATTCCTGGGCCTTCGTGAGCCTCCCCCCTGCTCTGTGCCTTGAAGCCTGCCAGGACCTTCCAGAAACCTGCCTTTCTCTTCCCTTAGCCAGAATTGGTTTCTGTTGTCTGTCACCAAAGTGCCCTGACTGACATGTGATATGGCCTGGTAGGGCAGACACTCAGGGGCATCCTTTATATTTTCACTGTGCAGGTCACATGGTTCGGCCATGTGTTGGCCTGGGCACCTGCGTTTCTTGCCAAAAGGGTCACTTGAGTGAAGAGCACTGATTTATCTGAATGGATTATCTGTCAACAACTCCTTGGAGAAAACCATACCTCCTGGTCCGCTGCCTTGGGCCCTTCGCTTCCCTCCCCCTCCCCAGAGAAGTCTCAGCTCACTAGTTATCAGCTGTTCTCTTCATCTTTGTAATTTCGGATGTCAGTCTAGCCCGTGTCTTCTTCCCACCAAACTATCCAATGGCACCGAGTACAGTGCCATACTCACCACTGATTTTAATTATTGGTGGGTGGAATTGACTGATTTCACTATTCCAGAGAGTCTCTCCCCTGAGACTCCCACCTCATGTCCACATGCATGCAACAGTCCCATTGGGAGCATGTAGGGCAGGGCAAACCACCATGTGTGACAATAGGGCCCCATGGTTGTGGGGCACCTGGGTGTGGACATGAGCTGTGGCTGTGAATACCCTGGAGCCCAATTCCCCACTAAGGTGGACCCAGTTATGGATGAGGCTGGGCTCTGTCCAAGAGCGATGCCCTGTGCCAGGCTGTCCACCCCGCAGCCCACGTAGGCCCACGAAAGTGCATCCTTGGGCGCCATGTATTACCGTTTCTGCAGGACGGTGACAAGCTCAGTGAGCCGGTCGCGTTCCACCTCGGTGGCCTGCCAGAGAGCCTTGAACTCTGTTACCTGGGCATGCCAGCCTTTTTGTTCTGGGGAGTCCGAGAACCTGGGGGCGAGGTTGGGGGGCAGAAGTCATTTGAGGCATTCTTTCAAGACACACTTACCCTTGTGATGGTGGGAGAGATTGGAAAGACATTCAGGACACCGAGTCCCTCCTGGCCCTCCTCCTCGGGCTCCCCCTCAGCCCACTGTTTCCGGCCCTGCTGAAGTCTCTGGATGTCATGTAGCTGGCTCCAAAGCCAGACCCCACCGGGGTGGAGTTGCATCAGCACCTCTGTCCATCCAGTGTAGGGCCTGAAATTAGTCTGGCTGCTACAGAAGTTGGCTTTTGGGGACCTGGGGGTGCCCTGGGTACCTGGGTGGCCTCTGGCCTGGTTGCCCTGCCCAATGCCAGACTGCCCAGCCCTCCTGCACCTCTGGCTTTGCCCCAAGCCCCGCCCACTTTCCAGGAGCCTGGACACTTGGCTTTGAGACTTGGTCCGTTTTTTCTCCAGCCCTGATCCAGCCCATTGCTGCTTCCCTCCTCACCACTGGGCTTGCCTACCAGCCCCTCACCTGCTGGCTGGGGTCAGGGCAGAAGGTAAGCTCTGACCCCCACCCCGACCCCCCAGAGCCAACATGTGAGTCCCAAGCTGCTCTCTGCTTTGCCCTCACCTTTCCCAGTGAGACCCTGGTGACCCTGGTCCTGCTGGCATCGCAGGACACAGGCACTCAGAGGCTGACTGGCTCTGTGGTCTTGGGCAGGTCCCTTCCCCTCTCTGGGCCCCAGTTGTCCCTCTGCACAGGGATGGGGCTGGCTGAAGTGGGCTCTGAGGACTGCAGACTCCTCTATGTTCTGACTCCTAAATATACTCAAAGGCCTTGCTGCTCAGAGTGTGGTCTGTGAGTCAGCGGCTGGGGCATCACCTTCCAGCTTGTTGGAAATGCAGGACCCCAGTCTGTGGCCCAGATCAGCCGGATCAGAACCCGTATGTAACCTGGCAGAGGCCAGCCGATCTGTGTGTGCACTGCAGTCCGGGAAACCCTATTCTACTCACCTCCATGATCTCACGTGGTGGGGGGAGGAGCCACAGGAGGAAGGAGGGGACCCCCCTGCTCCCACCCTACTCCCAGGCACCCCATCAGCATCCCCACGCCAGCCCCGACAGACACACTCTCTGGGGCCACTCCCACCCCATGCATGCCTGTCCTGTCACTGATGGGAGGGGACTGTAGGTACACGAGGACCGGGCCCGCACATGGTCGGGCTCAGTGAATATGTGTGTTTTGTGGGAGAAACAAGCCTGAGAAGCAGCAGTCTGGGCAGCCCAGGGGCACACTGGTTCCTGCATCCCCATGGAGTGCAAAGGTCACAGCCACATGGGCCTGGAGGAGGCCTGGAGGGGTTGTCTCGTCCGTCTCCCTGCTCCCTGTACTGTGACTAAAACCTCAGAGACACAGAGCCTGTCCATTCCCCCTGTGGCGTGAAGAGACGCGCGGCACGAGCTCGGCGTTGGCCCGCTCTCGTCCAGGTGCCTGTTGACTCCAGGCTGATGGGCGGGGCAGCTGCAGGGCTGGCCTTGGCCCGTGGTCCCTGGGCTGTCAAATGTTGAACCAGAAGTGTCCCAGTCACTTCTTGGGAAACAGAAGCCCAGGGAGGACCCATTTGCCCACAGCCACACGGCGACTCAAAGGCGGGCCTCATGCTACTCAGAGGCCTCCACCGGAACCTGAGCTGACCTGCCTGCGGGGCGGGGGTGGGGAGCTGACAGTGGGAGCATGGCTCCAGTGGCCAGTGGGCAGGGCTCAGGAGAGGGCTCAGAGGCAGGACAAAGCCACCCGTTGTCTGTGAGCTGGCAGGAAGAATAAAGGGCCCCTTTTAGCCTTACGCTTGATTCTATCAACAAAGATGGGGCCCGAGAGCTGAGGGGATATCAGTGCCTTAAAGTGGGAACCCATATGACATGAAATTCTCCCCCTAGGGACTGATTCTCAGTGGGCAAGAGAAGACAAGGGGCAGTGCTGGGCTCCAGGCCCTGAGGAGTCCTCGTGGTAACTCTGTGGCAGCAGGAATACTAGGCTGCGACTCGGAGGCCAAGACTCTCGTTCCGAAGCCACTTGCTCTATCACCTTGGACAAGATGACAGAGTCTTGTCCTGACCCTCCATGTCCTTATGTAACCTTGGACGAGTCCCTGGACTTGGCCTGGCCTTGGTTTTTCCTTCTTTAATGGGGTGGCAATACCAGCTGAGCCATCATGGATGGGACTATGAGGGCCCGGGGGTCCTGGGTTCTTACCTGGGTGACGCCCCATGAGGACTGGGCAGGGAAGGCCGCGTGAGAGCAGACTCCACGAGCGTGTGGCCCAGGCTGGTCACAGAGCTGTGTGAGAGCAGAAAGAGCTCATCACCACGGGCTGGCAGGCTGGGCCCTGCTGGGCCTCAGCAGCCGGGAGGGAGGCAGGGGCCAGCAGGGATCCGGAGAGCCCTCGCAGCAGCCCTGCATAGTTGCTGCCCTTCTTTCCAGAACTCTTGCTCAAAACAAGACAGAACCAGGAGACATCAGAGCCTCGACCAGTCCAACACAGGTCTGTTTGTGAATCTGAGAAGCGGGTGAGTTCTGAGAGGATTTTACAGGGAGCTGCAACCACATGCTCTTGAAGTAATAATATCTGGGCCTAAAGTTCCTTCACACAGATGCAGGGCTAATGAAATAGGAGAGGCCCACCCACGTATTGGGACAACAAGGCCACCGTCATCTTAAAATTGCACCCGTGGCTTCCCATCAGAGGCGGCAGGAAACATCCTTTCTTTTGAATAATTAATAGTCACATTCCAACCCCTCCAAACCATTTTTTTCCTTACCGAGAAGATCCAAGTCTGCCAACGTGATCGCCTGCTGAGGCCGGGGGCTTGGTCAGGCCCGGGCGCTCCAGGAGCTTGGTGTAGGTGGGGTTGACCTCGGGTCCACTGGACCCCTCACCCGCTCCTTTATTCTGATGATACTGCAGGAACAGACATGGGTTCGATTCTCAGGGCTTTGGCTCAGAGGCCTGGACAAGGCAGGAGGGGGCCTTGGCTTGATTTCGGGGCTTGCAGGGGATCTGAAAGAGGCTTCTTTTCAGAAGTGAAAAGCGAGGCCTGTTGGGTGAAGGCACTCCTTGCATGATAATGACCTCTAATAATGCCTCTCTTCAGAAAGGGAGCTACATGGTGTGAGTGCCACGACTGGGCCAGGAAGCTGTTCTACATTCGGGTCCCAAAGGGAAGGGCGTGGCCTACGATGTCGGGTAGATCAGAGGCTGATGTCTCCGAGTGGGCCCACCTCTGTGGGCAGCCCCACCCACACGGGGATGAATGCCAGGTGCGACCTGAGGCCAGCTGCCTTTGTCAGCTTGAGACACTTGGATCTTCCAGGCACCGGGGGCCGGAGAGGCTAGCAGGGCCTCAGCGAGGGCCGGTGCCTTGTGGGGAGGCCGGGCTGCCCAGGCCTCTTCCCTTCCCCACCGCTTCCTCTCCTGGGTGGCTGGTGAGGCTGGGAGGAAGAAGGAACATTGGAGGATCCCACAAGGAGGTCAGGCCACCATCAAGGGGTAGACAGTTGGTACGAGCTCCGAACAGCCTGGCATGTCCCCCAGCCCTATCCATTCTGAGAAAACTCCCAGCATGCGCCAACTTGTCTGGTGGGTAGCGTGTGGCCCCCAAATGGCTGGTGACCTCTAAAGTAAGGATAAGTCCTCTTTTGTGTGCCTGGAGAGCGGTGAGGTGAAGATGCTGGAATGGCTCCGTGTGTCCCTTCAGACTTCACTCCCCAGTGAGCCTGGGGTGGGAAGCAGGGTGAAGACTTCAAGGCGATGCCCCCACTCACTGCCACACGTGCTCTGTCCCCAGGCCATTCTCATGCCCCCATCTCTCCCTCAGCCTCAGGGACTTCCGTGTTCTCTACCACAGCCACTCCTATGGCCCTGGGCTGCCCTGGCCTCGAGATGTACAGCTGTAGGACAAACCGCCAACACCTGCCAACACCAGCCTGGGACTGGGACTGGGACACTGGGAGGCTCTGTGACACCCCTTTGGCTCCTCTGTCACTGGCAAACCTGTGTGAATGTCAAGGAATCCTTCTCCCCAGAGGCCACCAACTCCCCTCCCCCAAGCGCCACCCCCACAGGAAGGGGCCACAGAGCCCACGATGACTGACTCCTAGCAGCCCAGGCTGGGTCCCTCAAGACATCTGCCAAGGCCAATATCTCGAGGAGCCCGCGCATTAGACAAGCACTGACTGAGCTCCACTGTGTGCTCGGTCTTGGGCCAGACAGCGAGGCGCCATGATTTGTGCCCTCTCAATGGGGGCTTGGAGGAGAAAACAGGAAAATGGTCACAAAAGTTTGGCTTGGAGATGCACAGGGAGTTTGGAAAGTGCCAGGAGGGGCCTGTAACACAGAATTGGGGGGGAGGGGCTAGAGCTTTCCTGAAGTGCTCGTACTAGGTAAGACCTAAAGTCTGAGGGGCAGCTGACCAGGCAGAGACAGTGGGCGGGGGAAGGGAGGACATGTGCTTCCGGCATGTGCCCAGGCCTGGAGTGGGGAGACAGCAGGGCCCTGTAAGGAGCTAACTGGCATCCCCGTGGCCAGAGTGTGGGGGAGTGGGGATGCAGGAGGGGTGGCAGCAAGCGTTTGTCACATGGTGCCCTGCAAGCTGGATGAGGAAGTATGGTTTCCCTACCGCCATCCTGTTGCCTGGAATGTGGATGTAAAGGCTGGCACTGTAGCTACCATCTTGGGTCATGAGGATGAGGGCCTCAGCTGGTGAGGGAGAGGGTGAGATGGAAGGAGCCCAGACCTTGAGGACTGGGTGAGGCCAAGGGTGATGGGGAGCCGCAGACACGTTTTATGCAGAGCAGGGCGACAATCAGGTTTGTACCTTAGAGGAAAGGTGTGTGCAGAATGGGCTGGGGAGCCAGATGGAAGCAGGGAGCCAAAGTGGGACCAGGTAGGACGTGGTGCAGCCTGAATAAAGGCAGGTGGAAAGACATGGAAGTGGCTGAGATGTCTCTGGATGTTGGGTGGACTTGCCAGGACCTGGAAATGGATGCTGGGCCCAGCCAGTGCCCTGCTCACCTGTACACTGAGTTGCCCCATCTCCATCTCCAGCTGCTGCACTCTGGCCTCCCGTTCAGCTACCATGGCCCGCAGCTGGGCGACGAGGCTGCTGCTCTGCTGAGCCTCGTGGTTGAGCTGCTGGTCCAGGCGGCGTTGGGATGCTCGTGTCTTTTCCTCCTGCAAATGCATGCTGCCCAGAATCTCCTGTAGCTGCTTCAGCTGGTCCTGGGGAGGGTCAAGCGGGAGGGCAGGTAAGGGTCAACCAAGGCCCCTGGGTAAGGAAGAGCAAGGTGAGCCCTCACCCCCACCCCCAACCGCCAGCAACCCACCTAGTCCCTGCTCCTGCAGGGACCTGACAGTGGGACATTAACACTCCCTGGAGAAACAGAAAGAATACCTTCTTGCCCGTTCTCAAGGGGGTTAGCCAGGCAGGTGGAGGCCACGCCCTCATCTTGTCCTCACCTTCCTACTCCCTGAGATCAGGGCCAAGGAGCTCTCAGGACAACAGGAAGCACCTCAGATGGTGGCCCCTCAGCCAGTGGGGGAGATGTTTGGGTAAAAAGAAACCCTATCCCACTCTGCTGGGGGGCTGTCCTTGAAGGCAGCGCCTGGACCCCTCCCCAGGGACCCTTTAGCACTGAGGCCCCCTCACCTGAAGATACCCCTCCCCCTTCCCAGGACATTACTGGAGTGGAGGCGTCCTACCTGGGGGCCAGGAAGGACCATATCAGTGACTGGGAACAGGTGTGGGCTGTTGTCCTCACCCCATAGTGGAGGAAACTGAGGCTCAGAGAGGGGACACTGCTGGCAAACGGCAGGGCTGGGGCTGGTTTGCATCTCTGGTGCCATCTTCAGTGACAAAGAACGCTGGCACCCAGGGACCTCAGAGGACATCCAGCCCCGCACCTTCTTTAAAAGCTGGGAGCTGAGGCTCAGAGAGAGGCTGCAGCTGGCGCAGGGTCACACAGCGAGGTATCAACAGAGGCAGGCCCAGATCTCAGGTGTCCTGGGCCCTGCCTACCACCCCACCTAGTGAAATTAATAGAGACTAAGGGGGTGCCTAAGCCAGCTTCAGTTCCCCCGTGCACCCCAGTCAGGCCACGCATGACCACCCCAGGAGCCTGTGGGTACAACTTGGAATTCAGGGACAAAGCTCTGGGGTGCCTCGGGCCCCAGAGAGAAAAGGCCAGGCTAGGGTCAGGATAGCAGTGTGGCGCTGCTCACCAAGGAAGGCTTTGCAGTCAGATAAACCTGGTTTGAACTCAGTTGTATGGTCTTGGATGACCTATCTAACTAATTAGAAGTTTCCCCACCTAGGAAGTAGGATCATAATATTTGACCCTAGGAGTTATCTTGGCGACTGACTATGATAAACCACCCAAGCGCCCTGGAGGGGAGGGGCTGTGTGCGAGCACACAGACAAGAATTTGTACTGGCCCCTCAGTTGTCCCTTCCGTTTCTTGATGAGAACTAACTCAGGGCGCAATCCCATCTCCGTCCCCCTCTCCCGTTTCTTTCTCCTTTGGAGTCCACAGGCCCAGAGGCTGGTGCCCCTGGGCAGCCTCTGAGCTGCCACTGTCCCGGGGCGGGGGGCGGGGGGAGTTTGGGCTGGGGCCAGTCTGCAGGCAATGGGCTTTGGGGTTATGCAGGTGGCATTTGGGGGTGAGTGAGAGCTCACTGTGGCTGAGGCTGAGTCACATGTTTCTGGGTGGTGGGGGCGGGGGGCGTTCTCTGGGGGCCTGGACCCTGGCTGTCGCATTGCCCGAGCAGCTGGCCGTACCATGAGGGCATCGATGAGCTCGTCATCATGCCTGCCCTTCTCCGTTAGGGTCCCCATCTGACTCCTGAGGGTCTTCGCTTCGCTCGTCAGCACTTTGTTCCGGGACCTCACGGCCTCAAACTTCTTTTTCAGCTCTTCAAGCTCCGTCTGGAGGGCATCCCGCTCCCCCGCAAGTTTCTAGAATGAGAAAGTACAGTCCTGGGTAGCGGGGCCGAGCGGGCCCCCAGCCACATCCGGTCCCTTGCTCCCACTCATTGGTGAGCCCCAGGATGGGAGGGAAGGGGACTTGTCGAGGGCCACAGGGCACGTCAGTGGAGCCAGGGCCCTGACTTCCAGCCCTTGCCCAAGCACATGACAAATGTCACTAATGGACGATAGCATTCCTCCATTCAACCCAAGAAGGCAGGTGTCCGGGCAGCTGTCCCTCCTCTGCCAGAGTCAGACATGACAGGAAACCCACTGTCCACCTCTGGGTGTGTCCTCCAGGGGCTGTCCCCATCCCTCAACCCCCGCCTGAGCTGGGGAAAAGAGGAAAGCCATGCTTTATAGCAAACAGAGTTAAGTCTAGGGTTCAAACCAAAGTGCTTCAACCCACCACGTAGAGTGAGAAGGGGGGCCCCACCTGGCACTCCATCCGCTCACATCACCCCAGACTGCACCTTGCTTTCGTCAGCTACAGGCTAAAACTCACATACTGCACATGCCTTTGGGGTCTCTCATTCATTCATTCATTCATTCATTCATTCTCAAATATTTACTGAAGGCCTACTATATGGTTGGCCTTTTATAGGTGCTGGGGATACAGCTGAGAGCAAAACAGAGCCCTTTTCCTCAAGAAGCTGACATCCCATTGGGTGAAACAGATGATGCCATATAGTGACAAATGCTCATTGTGACATCTAAGTAGAGACTGAAGGCAACGAGGGTAGTAAGGACAAAGGCCCTGGGGTGGAACACGGGTGGCGTGGGCTCCATGAACCAGAGGGCAGCTTAGGGGCAAGGTCAGAGGGGCATAGGCCAGATATGGCAAACCCTCGGAGCCAAGAGTAAGACACTCAGGACGGTATGGGGCAGCAGGTGACAGAATCGGGTTTGGTCTTGAGGGTTTATTATCACTGGAAAAATGTTTTTAGCTCCTCGATGAGGTGAATTATAGAAATGAAAAGTAGTAAAACATGACGCATCTACAAGACCACAGCTGTTTGCAGGGAGGCAGCCATTGGTCCCCCATGGCTCTGCTGTCTGCACACTCCAGGCTCTGGTGGCAGCTGGCAGAAGAAGTGCACACAGGAAATCATTTCCTACAACCCACATTGTGGCTGATGGATGGTCCAACGATTCCACCATATTCTGTTCCGTGCGAATGTGTAAGTCTGAGCCAGGTGCATCTCAAACCCAACATTTTCAAGTCTCAGTTCCCATCTCCCCCATCCACCCACCACACTCACCGGAAGTCCTTCACAATTCTTCCTACTCCTCTGCCTTCCACATCCGGTCACTCAGTCCTATGTAATCAACCCTCAATGTTCCAAGCGCCTGGCCCTTCTGCTAGAGTCCTGCCATTTTAGTGCAGGTCCTTGGTCATGTCTCGGGTGGATTATTGCTTCAGCCTTTCATGCCTCCTTTGACCCATCCACCATGCCTGACCATGGGAGTGACCGCACGTGGACCATGTCCCTCCACAAACCCTTTGCTGGTTCTCCACTGCCTTTAAGATAAAAGCTCAAATCCCTGGCCAGCATACAAGGTCCAGTAGGACCTGCCCAGCTCCGCAGTCTCACTGTTCCCTTCCTTACACCTGATGGCCCAGGATGCTGGGAGGTACGATGCAGTGCTGGTCACAAAGTTCCGGGCACAGGACAGTCACCGATGGCAAGTCAGCCAGTGAAAGGTAAGGCCACACTGTTCAGAAGCCCATTGCCGGGGACACTGAAGTGGCCCCGCTCTGGCTGCCAGCACCTCCCCCTGCTTCTTCCTCTACTCTCCTTGAGGAAACCCCTATTCCCCACCGTCAGGCCAAGTTTGGGGAGACTGACTTATTCCCCAGACCAAGGAGTGGGTATCTGAAGCTTGGCCAATCAAAGCATCCTGTGCCCTTAGCCACATCCCTTAGGCTCAGGGATGGGCACAGGGTCTAAGCTAGTCCCAGATTCTGGGACTTTATCAGAGCTATTGGGGAAGAGAAGCCATTTGTGAGGGCAGGTTGGGGGACAGAAGCCGAGACCACCAGGAGTCCCCATGGGAGAGAGTAAAGCAGACCCAGGAGAAAGTGGCCCTGAAACCCAGTCCCCAAATCCTGGACCCGCCTGTGCTGGAGCTAGGCCACCTCTAGGCTGTCCATCTACAGGGACCAATACACTCTTCATTGTGTAAGCCTGGTAGAGTCTGGCTTTTGACACTCCCAGTTCAGCCAGTGAGATTCTAGCTGTGGAGCTGGTACCTGCCTGTGCACCTTTCATCAGCCTGGAGTGCCCCTTCTTTAAGTCCCATGTGACCCCAGCATGCCTCTGGAGCTGTGACGCTCTCTCTCTCCTTTTGCAATGAACGTTTCAGATCCAACATCTCCAAATCAGCCAGGATGGGGCAGCCCAAAGTTCATGAAATGGGCTCTGGGTGAGGACCCAGTCAGGTGGTTCAAGCTGGGTCCACAGGCACAGAGGTGACCCAAACCCCTAGGTGTCTCCTGCCTCTAAGCGGTGCCTCCACGTGCTTGCAGGGGGCGGGTCATGATCTCCGGGTCCCACATGCCCAGCGGACCTCGCCCCGGGCACACATTACCTCCCAGCTTTCCAGCTTTTCCCTTTCCAGGTTGCGGATCCTCAGCAGGTTTTTCTCCTGCGCCGACAGCTTCCTTGGGTCTGGACAGACAGACAGCTCATCACTGGCTGCTCCCACAGACCTGTTCTGGGTCTGTCCCAACTGTTTCTCAAGCTCTCGAACCTGAGGATGGTAAAAACTCATTGTTCCACAGCCGGTCTGCAGTCAGACTCGACCACTTGAAGGGGCCTCCCCGAGGGACCACGGGAGACCCCACTAGACAGGTGACACCACAGTTCCAGATGGATGTGTAAGCCCCATAGGAGAGGAATGGGGTGGGGAGGGATCTGTAGTGGCACCTTGAGCAAAACAAGGGAAAACATGAGAGAGGTTTCGCCTGGAAAAGAGAAACTTCCAAGTAAATGAGCAAAATCACCTCATCTCTGAGGGTCTTGAGGCTGAGAAGCTGATGTGTGGACCTAAGACCCTGGGAGGGAAAGGGTGGAGAGGCTCAGTACAAAGAAGAGCTCTCTAACAGACCATGATAAGGTGGTCTCCTTGGGACGCCCTGGGTTCCTGGTCACTTTGCAGCAGATGCTATAGAGGGCGGGCAGATTGGAGGCTGAGAGACCATCTCAAAGCCTCGCTGGCTGTGTGACTGTGCACAGATTACTTAACATCTCTGAATCTCAGGTCCCTCATCTGTGGGGTACACCCTGGGCCTAAGGGTACACCCTGATAATGTTTCTGTGAGCGTTCAGTGCCCTGGACTTGTCTGAGCCTGGGAATCCCCACGGCACTTCTTGGAGTGACAAATCTTGGGGCCCACTCCAGACCAACAAGTCCGAGCTCCAGAGAAGGCCCTGGGAATCTGCATTTTAAACAAGGGCTATGGGTGATTTTTAGGATCAGGCAACTTTGAGAACCCCCAAGATGGCCCAGGGGAAGCCCCCAGCACAGAGTCCAGCCCTCAGGCTCTCAGCGAGACGCAGGTAGATGTCATTCCACAGAACGATGGCCTGACCACACTGGGGTTGAAGTGTACAGCTCCGAGGGGCCTTCTAACCCTGGTTTCCATGTCAACACAACATAAGTGATGGAACAGAGTTGGGGAAACCTGAGCTGGGGCAAAATTCCCTACCATCACTGGTACGGGGCAGCAGCATGGCTGCTAAAGCACTTATCAGCGCCCTCGTGTGGTACTGTGTGGTAATTCCTTTAAGTATTGAACACAGAATGACTTTTAATCATTTATTTACACAACTTAACAACAGCGTTAACCAATGCATTCAGTGTGTATTATGTCCAGGCACTGTCTCTGCTGGGTGCTTTACAAATGTCATTTCGTTTAACCCACAAGAAGAGTACTATCATCTCCATTTTACAGATGAGGAGACTGAGGCGCAGGGAGGCGATTGGCCCAAGTTCACATAACTTGTCGATCAGTGACTCAGGCCAGACTCAAACTCAGGTCTCTTGAACCCAAAGGGCACACACTGGTCGTTCATTACAGTTGTGGGGAGACCTTTCCTCCTTCACGTCGGCTTCAAGGATCCCACAGGAGACCCTGAGGATAAAAGCCACCTAAGAGCTGTGACACTGAAATTCCTGGGGTGAAGGCAAAGTGCTTGGCAAACAGTGTAAGTTACACACCTACTCATGTGCTTCTTGGCTGGAAGGCAACAAAGAGGGCAATGACTACAGATGACCTTGGTGCAGCAGTTCCTCCACGCAAGGCAGTGTACTGAGCATTTTACACACACCAGGGGTGCCAAAAAAATGTATACAAGTGGACACTTTGGTCAACGTTGCTCAAGCAGTAGTTCGCCGTAATCAGAAGTGTCTGGATACTGATGGGAACCACTTTGAGCACCTCTTGTAATTGCAGAAGTCAACTGTGACTTGTATTCATCTTCTGTTATCGGTATATAGTATTACAATTTTAATACAGTTTTTTTTTCCTTTCTTCAAATGTGTATACCTGTTTTGGGTACCCTCTGTATTGACTCACTCAGTCCTCCCCACAACCCTGTGGGGTAGGTACTGTCATTATCCACAGGATACAGATGAGGAAACTGAGGCCCAGAGAGAAGAAGTAACTTGCCCGAGGCCACACGGCCCGTGAGTGGAGAGCTGGGATTTAAATCTAAGCATTTGGGCTTCGGAGCCCCTGCTCTTAGCCTCCAAGGAGGCTCCAGATATTTAAAATATAAACAGGGAGACAGGGCTACATTTTTACTGGGTAATGAAAAGCCTACAAGCATCTGGACAAAACTGGAAAAAGCCTACAAGTACAATAGTCACGCAAATTTATATGAACTAGGGGAAAAAATATGCCTGGAATAAAATAAATCAAAGGCTTTGGCATTTGTTAAGCGCCAGGGCCTGGCACGTGGTAAGTGTTATATAAATGCTTGTTCATTAAATAACAAATTAAAATCAGGCTGGTTGGGGAGAATGCAAAACAACGACCCTGCAAGAGGCCTTTTGAGGGGTTCTGTGTCTCTGATGTGGGTCAGTGTGGGTCCTTCAGGGCCATTTCAAGCCCTGTGTTCAGGGCCAGGAGGGGTCTGATGACTCACTCACCTTGCTCTGCAAAACTAGAATTTGTTGAGCCCGACCCCTCCAAGTCCCTGGCGAGGACAGGAGCTGCTGGACGTTCACATCTTCTCCCACCTCGCTGGCCAGCACCTGAAAAGGGTGGGACTGTCAGTGTGGCCAGGAGAGAGGGCGCCACCAGAGCCTCAGTGCTGCTGTCTGTTCAGGAGCTGGGCTGGGTGCGTGGGGCTCCTAGCAGGCCCGGCCTCTGCATGCACAACCTTCCTCCCACCTTGGAGGCCAGTTAGTGGACCACGCTCCAAGAGCAGCAGTCCCTGGGAAAGCAGTAAAACCCTCATCCCCAGCGTGTCTTGGCAATGCCTAGAGGGGACAAGGAGCTGCCAACAATGCCCAGGTGGGGCCCTTTGCTCTTGGGACACTCTGGGATGAGTGAACCACAGGGTTGACCAAAACTTGTTTCCTTAACGTGTTCACTGGTCACCTAGCACTGAGCTCATCATCCTGGATGGCCACAGGAAGTACCCTGCCACAGACCCTCGCCCCCTGTGGAAAGCCACCGAGGAGGGGCCATGTCCAAGGGCAGCAAGGAAGGGGGCTTCTGAGTCTCAACGGGGGATGTTCGGTTCCAGAAGGGCCCAAGTTTGTGGCTGTTGAAGGGAGGTGTTCAGGCCCCACCTTGAGGCTTTGAGATGGAAACAACACTCTCAGCTTGTGCCCTGGGTCTCGGTGAAGCCTGTCACGGAAACCTGATCCTGTGTACCAAGTCTCTGGAGCTGGTTTCCACAATAGAACACTGTTTTGGAAATCTTGGCTGGTCTGAGTGGTTCCAGCAGGGAAGACAAACGCCAGAGAATTCGCTATGCAAATAAAAGTAACTAATGAACCAGCTGGGCCTGCATCCCAAGTCTGAGGATTTTTCTTTGAAAGGGGCCTTTAATACACAAACAATCTATTCACTTTCTAATATTACAGACAGCAGAGGGCAGGAGGAAGGTCTTAGCAGGCTTCCCGGTCCAAGGTGGCTTATGTAGGAGGGACCCCGGGTTTACTATGGTGCTCAATAGCACAAGGAAGGTTGAAAGGACTCTCTGCTGTCTTCCTCAGTCCATGGTGGGGCGGGCACCACAAGGGCATGTACTCAGGGTGCCTCGGCCGCCAGCAACCCCACTCACCAAGTGGGTCTGTCTCGAGGGCCGGTGGAAGGAAGTTATGATCTCTAGCCTGACCCAGAGCATGAATGCTCACGGGGCCAAGCACTCGCTGGACCTGAGTGGAGCCCACTGTCCCTGTCCTGCCCCTTCCCAGGGCCGGGCCCAGCCAGACAAGATGACTTGAAGCCTGGCTCTGGAATACCTTCTGGGCCACCCGGAGCTCCTGCCTCACAGACTGGATCTGGTTGCGGAGGTCGCTCATCTTCAGGTTCGTGGCCGCCAGCCTGTCCTGCAAGACCTTCACCTCTGGGGACTCCGGCTGGTTGGGGGCAACAGGAGGGAGAGCAGTCACTTGCTGCCTGAATAGTAATGATAACCCAGCCCCCATTTCTCCCAGCAGGTGCTAGGTGCTGTGCTAAGTGCTCGCTCAGCAAGGAGCAAGCACTTAATCCTCACAGACCCTGTGAGGATTCTGTCAGCCCCTTAGAGAAGCAAAGCAGAGGCTGGTAGAGGGTGAGGCTCCTTGGCTCAGGGTACCTGGTTGGGAAAGGGGGAGCGTGGATGTGAATCCTGGCGGCCTGACTCTGGGACCTAAGCCCTTTGCTCCGAGTGTCACACACACACACACACACACATGGACGCAGGTGGTGACCACAGGGGGAGCTTCTGTCAGATCTCCGGCGCCATGAGCCCCACTGGCCCGGCCGGGTGGTGGTGTGGGAGCTGTGAGTGCATGGGCCCCCCACGTGCCTGCTGTGACCCTGCTCGGACATTGGGAAGAGCACACAGAAGGGACCTGGATCTAGAACCCAGGCAGTGACGCCCCTCTCCAAGCCTCACTTCCTCATCTGTAAAATGGGGGTATGTAATACCAGCTTCCGGGTTCCCGTGAGTATTGATTGGATAACACAGGTAAAGGGAGCTGCCTGGGGCTGATTCTGACAGAGGGCATGTGGGGGCAGGGGAGGGGCGAGCCCGGCTTGGATGGGCAGCTGGCAAAGGGGGCTGAGGGCCAGATGGTGTTCTGGTCAGGGCTGGGCCCGTGTGCAGGGGCAGCCATCACCCCCTCTACTCCTCCCCTCAGGCAGCTGGGCCAGCTCTACCGCCCTGCTGTTTCAGAGCTGTTCCTGCCCAGAGTGAAATTCCACAGGCTTCGTGGGGGACTTGGATATGGGCTGTTTTCTTTGAGGGAATAAACAAAACACAGTCCATGGGGGAGCAGACAATACCAGCGTCACTCACACCACCCCTCCTGCAGCCCCACGTGGAGGGAGGGCGGCCCCACTTCGGAATGAGCTCTGGGGCTCTTGGGGCCAGAATGTGGGGTGAGCCTGCAGGCCTTTGGAGTGTGGCTGGGGCCACCTGAACAGTCTGATTGGGCAGACATCGCTTTGTTCTCTCTCTGATCAGAAGACGCCCGGGAAGGCGTGTGGCACTGATGGACTGGGACTTGTAGCCGATCACCCACTCTTCTATCGGAAACCTTTCAGCCTCCCTGCAGCCACAGAAGGAAGTTGGAACTCCCACTCCAGCTGCCATTCAAGGCCTCCCTCCATGGGTGACCCCCCCCCAGCTTTTTTTTGGCTTACGTTCCCCTTTTCCACCCAACTAGCAAACGGAATGGGAGTGTTGACTGCTTCCTGGCCTCTGAGGCTCCGCTTGCACCGTTCCTGCTGGAAGGCCCTCCCCTCTGCCCCTTCTCCAGCAAAGCCCACCTCCGGAACCCCACCCCACCCCACTTCCTAGCTGCCTCTGGGAGGGTGTGCTCCCTCTGTGGCCTCTCTCTGAAGGCCCTGTCCCCCTCCTTCCTTCAGCATGGCTACTCATCTCCTCTCTTGGATTCCCCCGTGAACAGAGGCCTGTGTTTGCTTCTCTGTGTCACAGGGCTCAGAAAATCCCATCGGGCTCAACAAGTGGCTGGACAAGCAGTGTCCCATCCAGGACAGCTCTAGTCAGGGACACAGAGGCGCTCCATGCTCTGGATAAAGCAGGGGCAGCTGAGCAGTGTCCCTCGGAGCCAGGAAATGCCCTGAACACTCAGTCCAGCCCCTGCTCTACTGCCTTGCCAGCAATGAGACAGGTTTACACAAGACCAGCCTCCAGGAGACATATCCACCCCTGGAGCCGAGGGGCCCATCGCTGCACACCGAGGGCTGAGTTCTCCTCAGGACAGGCATGACCCAGCCTCACCCTAAGCCGTAGACAACAAGGGAGGTGCGGCTGGAAAAGCAGCACTGAACTGGGAGTCCTGAGACCGGGACCCCTGGGTCACCCACTGGTCTGGCTTCCCAAGGTAAGCCCTGGGGAGGCCTCCTGGGATGTTCTTGAGACTTAGATGCTAGTGATTGTCTGGCTTGGGCTCCATGCCCCGCCCTGGTAGCCCACGGGGTCAGACGGCCTTCCTTTCATGGAGCTGCAATTCTCATGTGTTGGGTTTCATCGACTGCTCACCGGCTTAGGAAAATGGAATCTTGGGAACCAGCCCTTATTCCCAATAGTCATTTTTACTCTGTAGACTTGGAACTCCACAAAAGGAAGCCTTCTCACAACATGAACTGCTGGGCTGCATTGTGCAGTAGTGAGTTCCTGTCCCGGGCGGAAGGTAGAGGCTGGTGTCTCCCCAGTGAGAACGTTCCTTTATAGCTGGGCTCGGAGCGGGCAATCAGTTGGACCAGGCCTTCCCTGCTGGTCTTGAAATTCTAGGGTCCCAGGGTCCTCAGGACCCCCTGACCTCCCTCCCTCCCTGAGGACTGGTCCTCAGAGTTAGACCCTCACTGGCCTCCACTGGGGCATTCCAGGCATGGTCACTGCTCCCTGATGGCTGCTCTGTGGATGCTGCAATGGTGACACCGGGTCTACAGTGGGATGGAGGTGGACCCCAGACAGAGGCACCTACACTCCCATGGAAGACGGGAGGCTGGGCCAGTGGCCACCTCACTGACTCCCCAGCACAGAAGAGCTTTCATACCAAGGCTCTGTCTCCCATCTGGGCCCTCGGTGGCTTGGCTCCTGCGTCAGTGGCCCCCTTGGCTGGCAGCCTGGCTAGGACCGTCTGCAGCTGAAAAAGCAAACCTCACACTTAATATTTAATCTGCTCAGCAGTTGTGGTGCCCGAGCGAAGCTCTCTGGTGCCGCTGGGTGTGTGGTTACCGATCTCGGTGGTGGGCTTTCTCTCAGCTCGTCTTAGGAGCATCAGCGGAAGCACGCTTCTGTACGAACTGCTCTGCCATGGGAGAGGGTTTAATGGACGGTCTGCCTCACTCCCCAGTAGCACAGTAGGGCAGCTCTAGGATTCACTAACAGCTTAATAAATAATAACACTGTAGCCATGGTCTGCATCCTGGAGTTCTAGCAACAGGCTGGGACGGGAGGGTAAAGGAGCTATGGACTTCATGTTACAGATAAGGAGACGGGGTCAGAGACACTGAGAAACCGCTACCTGGGCTCATGGCCTTGTGGCCAAGACCGCCACCGGATATAGGCCACCAACCGACCCTTTATTGGTTTCCACATTGTTCTTCCCACAAAGACCACACCCTGTCTGACAAGGCCAGGCATGACCCACCCTCCCACCTCTCTGACCTCATCGTGTTCCACTCTCGGCCACACTGGTCTCCTTTCAGGCCTTCATCCCTGCTGGGTCCTCTGCATAGAGGCCCCTCCCCCACCTCTCTGAGTCTGGCCCCTTCTCATCCTCTAGGGACCCAGAGTGTGTGCTCCCTCCTCGAAGGGGTCCTGGGTGCTGGTCTGTCACCCAGGAGGGCAAGGACCAGGCCTGTGTTGCTCCCCACCGTCTCCCCAGGGCCTGGCACAGAGAGCCCGAGATAGTTCTCAAAAAATTTGTCATAAAGAAGCTCTAACTCCATGCCAAGTACAATGACCGAGGAAGGTTTGGGAGAGCAACAGAATCGGACTGGAGACCTGGCACCACCACGGGCCGTGGAACTTGAGAAAGCCCCTTACCCACTTTGGGCCTCGGCCCCTCCAGCCCTATACGGAGCAGCTGTGTAGGTTCTCGCTGGCTCATGGATTCCATTCTAGCTCCTAAGGCAGCACGAACTGCTTGGGCTGTGCCCTCGCTCGACTGAGGGGCTTGTGATTGGCAGTGGGAGGGCAGGGGGCAGCAGGAAGAGGGCGATGGACAAACGTGAGACCGCCTGGTGGAAGGCTCCCGCCTCTAGCTCCAAATTAGCAAGGATTCCTGTTCATGTATTTAACACACGTTTATCCAGCGCCCGCCACATGCTCAGCCCGGTTCTAAGTAGTTCACAATGGTAAGTCATTTAATCCTCAGAAAACCTGAGGGCGAGTCCTCTCATTACTGCCATGTGACAGACGGAGGAAACGGAGGCACAGGGCATTTATAACTTCCTCAAAGCCACAAAGTAAGTCAGTAATGGAGCTGAGGTTTGCACCCAGGCAGCCAGGCTCCAGGCCCGTGCCCTAACCACTGTGCCAGCCTGTCTCTGCATGACCTGTGCCCCCCTGGCTTCCTGACACACATTCGCCTCTCAGGATGTGACAAAGGCTGAGGGACTCACTGCAGACGCTGACCCACACACCCTTCAGAAGGACCCAAAGCACCTAAGTGGCTCCCTCTCTGGAGGAGTGGCCCAGGGAGCTGGGAGTCCCCGCCAGAGGCAGGAGTGAGCAAGGCCCTCACTTCCCGCTCCAGCTCCTGGATGTGCTGGTTCTGCTGCTTCACTCTGGTTTTCGCACCCTCTGACTCTGCCATCAGCACCCGGTTCTTTTTGGACAGCTCGACGATTTTGGTGGCAATCGCATCCCCAGCCACACCAGCTGTCTCTAAAATGAAGGAAAATGGCGCGGTCAGTTTAAAACACAAGCCCACGCATTGAACCCACACCCCCAGTACCAACGGCCCCGGGCTTTGAGAAGCCCATGCTGCTCAGAGTGAACACTCATGGAAGGGCAGGGGCTCTGGAGAGCACCACACACCTAGGCACCCCCCAACCCAACTCCAGCGAGTGGAAAGGCAGCCACTCGGGGAGTCAGCGTGTTCTCGGAAAGTGACAAATAAAATCAGGAAGCAGAGTTTTAATTCTGTGGGAAGTAAGCTTATTGTGCCAATTCTTCACGCCCTCCTTGGTGATAGGGTTACACCTCCACACACTATGCTCTGTCACTGTGCTGTGTCCTCCAGTGAGAAGGGCACACTCCCTCGACCCTCTAGGCCTGACTGACTCTGGGCTCTGCCAATGACTTGTGTTGATTGATGGGATGTTAGCAGATAAGGTAAAGTTATGAGCCTCAAAAGCACCTTTCACATGTGCTGTCTCCACAAGAATAGACCCAGGCCAGCTGGCTGGTCCCAGGAAGAGGAAGAGAGACACATGGCACAAAGCTGAACCCCCCCAGGTGATCCCCCACTAACCCCAGACGTCTGAGCTAATTCAATGCTCATTGCTGAATGTTGCTGAGATCAAGCAGTTGTTTCTTATGCAGAATTTGGTGATAACACCTAATAATACAGATGCATGCGTTTATTTAGTAAATATTTATTGAGTTTCTACCAAGTGTTGAACTTCCTGGGTGTTAGGGATTCAATGGTGAATAAAAGAGCCTTATGGAGTTTACATTCTAGCAGGGAAGACAGGTGATAAAAACCAAACACATTAATATGTAATGTAACACCTGGGAGGAATAAGTGCTATGAAATACACTGCAGCTGGGCAAGGAGATGTGAGGGGTGGCGGATGATGCTATTTTGGATGGTGTGGTCGGGAAAGGCCTCTCTGAGGAGGTAATGTGTGGACAGACCTGAATGGATGAAGGGAGGGATCAGCCGTGAAGAAGAGAGTTCTCAGCTAGGAAGCGTGTTCTTTGTGGAGCGAACAGCAAGTACAAAGGCCCAGAGGCAGGAAAGGGCTTGGAGTGTCTGAGGAGGAAGCGGGAAGGCAGGGGGCCAGGTCAGGAGGCCGCAGAAGTGGGGCGGGAGGGACATAAATGAGGGAGGTTGTGTGGGTGGGGCCAGGTTGCCTGGGGCAGGCCCGTACAGAAGGCAATGGGAACTGGCTGGGTCGCCGCCCGTCCCTTGCCCTCTCTGGAGGGCGGTTTCCCCATCTGTGCAACAACAGTTTCCGTCAGATGGTCTGCGAGTTCCCTGGATGCTTTGGACACTCCAGCAGTGGGTAACTGGCGGACGCCCCCCTTCTTAGGACTACTTTTCAGACTGTGATGCACCTCAGCACAAGACTGAGGGCGACAACTGGTGGAAGGTGAACGAAGGTGCTTGATGGTTTTCAGGCTCGTGCTGCTGGCCTGAGCCAGGCGCTGAGCTGGGCAACCAGGAGTAGCTGCCCTCGGTAACCCTCAAGCCGGTGGGATGAGGGCACATCAGGAGGAAGGGCTCAGGACATGGGGGAGGAGACCAAGTATAAATGGTCCAGCGGTGAGGTCTCTGGGCTATTTCTTCCTCCCAGGACTCAAAAGCAGTGAAAATCCTAGAACTAGACATCGAAAGAGTCCGAAGGGCAGGAAGGGGGGCTCCGAGAGAACGGGGAAAATCCTCCGGTTTTTTTTTCCCCTCTCCCAACCCTGTTTACAGCAAGCCCCACTCCTGAGCTGTCACCCATGCAACAGTGAATGGGCAAGCACAGAAATGCTAAATATCTGGGTAAATATAGACTATTTTTGTCTCCTTAAGTTCTTTAAAATATATATAATGCTTGAAAGCAACTATGGCAGCATTGTCTGATGGGATTTTCAATATATATAGGAGTAATACATATAAAAGCTGCAATGGGCAGGGCGGTGAGGAGGGAACTTTTATAACTACATGGTGGTCAAGTTTCTTCATTCTGCTTGAAGGGATAAAGTATTAATTTTAAGTAGACTGTGAACAGTTAAGTATGTATTTTGTAGTCACTAGCGCAATCACTAAAAAATAGCACAACGAAACAGTTAAAAAGAGAAAAACTAAACGATAGCAATTACTAAAAATCCAGCCAAAGGAGAGCCAGCCTTTCAGCTGCCAGCAGCCTGTAGCCTGTGGCCTGGTTTAAAAACATGAACTGGGCCAGTCAGACTTTTCTCTTTACAACTTGAAGTTGGAAATCAGAAATGGTGACTTCAGAGTGAGGGCTGGATTTAAGAGGAGGGAGATGTAAGGGAGAGCTGGAGCTGGCAATCAGACGAGATGAGCGAACGGACAGAGACAGCAAGCGAGAAAGAGCTCAGGGCAGGCTGGGCTAGAGGGAGTAGCGCCAGGTCCAGTCTCCCAGGCCTCCTGGCATGGGGAGGATCTCCTGCTGTCCTCATGGAGCCCACTCAGCTTCTCTGCAGCCTGGAGAAAGGGCAAGCTGCCCCTTCACATCTGAGCCCCGATCCAGGTTAAGTGTGTTTCTGTTCCTCACAACGCAGTCTTCTTTTCAGGGTGTTTTTGTGTTAGACAGAAAAGGCTTAAAAAAAATGGGTGGATGCACAAAAGGCTACCAAGGGCCTTTAGGACGCCAAATTCCCTTGCTTTTTAATTCCCCACTGTTCCTCTGGGTGTGCCCACCCTTCAAGGCATTCACGATCAAAGGCAGGGAGGGATGCTCTGGCAGATGCTGAGTAAGGCCTGCTGCTTTCTGATGGGTGACACTTTTCTAGTCAGCCACCAGGGAATTGCTCAACGGGTATACATGGAGCAGAAGCCAAGGTCCCCACCAGATCTGCAGGGCCAAAGTCTAGCTCATAACCACAAAGCCAATGTCTAGCCCACACTTACAGAGCTAAGGTCAATCTTAAACTCACAAAGCCAAGGTCCCCACCAGACCCATGGGGCCGAGGTCTCCACCAAGAGCCAAGGTCCAGACCAGACGAGAAGGGCCAAGGTCCACTCTAGACCCTGTGTGTCCTGGGAAATCCCCTGGGAACAGCTGGCTTCCCTGTCTCATCCACCTGTCTGGAGCAGCAATAGCAAGTGCTGTAGAGTAAATCCCTGCATCTACTGGGGCTTTTCTCATCTATACTACAACGTCGGAGCCAGTGTACCCGGATGAAATGGACCCTGCTGGCCCACTGAAAATGCAGCAAGCACCACGGAGAACCTCTGTTCTGAGTGTCCCAGCTGAGTCACCAGCACTGGCTGCACTGCCTGCCTGCTGCTCTTGTGCCCCCACTTCCTGGCGTGTGGGCCTCTTTAGCCTGCTCTCTTTCTCTGCCCTCTCAGGACTCTGGGCAGCTTGACCACATCTGACCCTTGGCCCTCTCTCCTGGCTACCTGCCCTCTGGAACTTGCCATTTGCCCTGCCAGGGAGACTCCATGGCAGCTGGGCCTGGACCTCAGGGCACCTGGGATTCAGGGCAGGGATGGTTGCATCCATGGGGGAACTACCTGTGAAGGCCAATCTGTTCTCTTCTATTTGCTTTTTGAGGTGCTTGATTTCAAACTCCCTCTCCTTCAGCAGCTTATACAATCGCCCGTTCTCGTCCACTGTTTCCCTGAGCTGGTCGCGGAGTTGTTCGATCTCGTCTTCAAGCACCCTGCAAGGCAAAGGCAGTTACGATTCTTCCCAGGGACCAGTGGGCAGGGGACCCGCCACCAGGGACCAGGTTTGTTGTACCTAGTTGGGCACTAGGTGGGGATAAGAACGGCTCTGTACAAAATAGGAATGAGGGATTAAGGAAAGCTCAGTGAACAGGTTTTAACACAATATTCTCAAAGCTGAGTGTTCAGCACACATGTGTGTGCGCGCGCGCGCGCACACACACACACACACATGCATACACACACACATGCGCGCACGCACACACACACACACGGGAAAGGAGAAAGATGTTTCCATAACATGGTTTGTTGTGGAGTCAACAGAGAGAGAAAGATAAAACCCCCACTCAGAGAATTCGTATTCCTTTTAAGTATCCATGGAACAGCATTAAAAAAATTGTATTAATATAAGCTACAAAAGGCAATCTAGAAAACTCCAATTGACTAAAATTAGACATCAATACTAAAAATATAGCAAAAATAAAATAAAACACAAAACCCCAAACCCATCGTATGTTTGGGACCAAAAAAGAATAAACACTCATGAATTATTTATGGATTAAGAAGAAATCATAATATATATGTATTATGAAGCATTCAGAACAGACTGAAATGCAGCTAAAGTGATACCTGAAGGAAACTGATACTCTTTATTGCATATATATATATATATATTATAAGAGCCAATAGGAATTGTCTAAGCCTTAAGCTGAGTCTCTAGGATTCAGGTAAGCCCGATAGAACAGGTGGTTGGTTTTGTATAAGTTATTTGGCAGGCGTTTTTCAGAAACCGTGATCACTTCTATTGTTACTGCGTGGAACAGACTCCCTAGAGACAGCTGCCCAGGAAGTAAATAAGTTATAGAAGTTACAGGTAACAGTAATTATCAGGTAACAGCTATTATTATTATTGCTGTCATCCTTATTCCACCAATGGCTCAAGTCTCCACCAATTAGTTTCTCTGATTTGGGGAAATATCCTTTGGAAGTAGGTCTGGGGTTCATTTTGAGCTAATATTTAAGGGCCATAAGAATTTTATCAATTATCGAGAAATCTTTATGCTTTTATCCCAATTAGCATTTTGTAGTAGAATATTTTGAAAATTGAGAAACCATAAAAAGTAGAATTTGAAGATGGAAAAAAACAGATTCTGGATGAAACCAGAAGCAAAGAAACAGCTCAACAACTGTTGTGATTTTTGTTTAGTAAATTGACTAGCAGAGAATTTTGTATCAATACAGGCTCCTGCTTCTAATAACCAGTATCATCGATGAACATGCATCTGTGGGGTGCTGTCGAGCAAAATGAGAAGATTCTGGACTCTGTTCAACTTTTTCACCAACGGTACAGTGAATGTCAAGGAACCCACCAAGTGCTGCTCTAGGATAGGCAGGTGTACGTGTTGTTATGTGTTAGGAAATAGGCATGGGAGAGCCAAATCCCAGATGCGATTTGGAGCAATGAACATCTATGAACCATTAGAGTCAGTCAACCAGCTCCTCAGAAACTCAAATACACTTTCCACGAGAGACTGAATAAGAAAATTCAAGTGAATGTTGTACACTTGAAACTAATATTATGTTGTATGTCAACAATAACCGAATAAAAAAAATTTAAGAAGATTCAAGTGAATAAACTACACCCTGACGAGTTTCAAAATTTCAATTTGACTTGAAATGGCTTTTAAATACATTTCATATCAATTAATGTCCCCAGGAGCACAGATCTTCTATCAGATGCAAGAGTCTTCGACAACAACCTGTGTCATCATCTCTGCATCTCAGCTTATTCAAACCAGTTGGCCTGATTGTCTGTCTGCAGTTATTACTCCCCCACCTCCCCAACTCCCTGCAGTGCTCCTGGGAGGGTTCAGACTTGGCATTTACCTCCGTTCAAAGCTGTTTTTTAAGTGTTGCTCCCCAGCTTGGAGAAGACTGAGGCCATCGGAGATCTCCAAGGGCTCTTTTTGGTCCTTGACTTTGCTTTCAAGGCTCAGTTCCTTTTCCTTCCGTTTCTCCATCTGCTTCTGTAACCTTTTGTGCTGCATCTCCTGCATGGCCTTGAACTGGAGCCGCAAGGTGTCTTGCGAGCCTTCATCTGCTGCCATCTTGCCCTAGATGTAGGAAAAGAAACCTGAGCTGAAGCAAACTCCACAAAGCACACACCTCCCAAGAGTGCTCAGCACACAGTCAGCCCTGTCTGCAGCGCCCAACCCTGGGCTTTCCTGCTTGGCTTTGCCCATGTCCATGTAGAAGCTTGGAAGACCCACTGTCACCTCAAAACCCCTGAAAGCCAAAGCTAAGCTGAACATCTTCCCCAGTCCTGACCATGCCACCAGACTGTAGATGGCATCAGAATTACTCCCCCATCACTCAGACTCAACACTTCACACCTCCCGTCCTAAAACAGTGGCTCCCAACTCTGGCTGAACATTAGAATCTCCTAGGAGCTCCTAAATCATAACAGTCCTTTGACACATCCTTGGACCAAATAAATCCCAGCTTGTAGGTATAGGGCTCAGACATCATTACTTTTTACATTGGGGTATAATTTACATAAAGTGCAAAAATCCTGAGCGTGCAGCTCAATGAATCTTTACATAGGTCTGCATCCCTGTGGTGACTCCCAGATCAAGATGCAGGGCACTTCCTGCCCCTGAGCAGACTATCTTGTGCCCTCTCCCGTGAGGCCAGTCCCCCAAGGAAACCCCTCTTCTCACTTCTGCCATTGAAGATGAGTTTTGTCTATTTTCTTTTTAATCAGCTCCATGTAAGTATGATTTACACACAATAAAATATACCAATCTTTGCATGCAAATGAGTTTTGACAAATATATATATACACCTGTGTAAACTACCACCACCACCACGATAGAACATTTCTATCACACCAAAAAGCTCCTTTGCACCTTTTTACAATCAATCCCCCTGCCAGTCCCAGTCCCAGGCAAACTCTGATCTGCTTTTGGTCTCTGCAGTTTTGCCTTTTAGAGATTCATCCATGTTGTTGAATGCATCACTAGTTCATTTCTTTTTATCGCTGGGTAGTATTTCATTATATAGATATACCAGTTTGTTCATACAGTCACCTGTTATTAGACATCTAAGCTGTTTCCATTTTGGGCTACTATGAATAAAGCTGTCATGAATATATAACAAAGTCTTTGTGTGAACGTATGTTTTTATTTCTCTTGGTTAAATACCTAGAAGTAAAAATGCTGGATTATATGGTACATTTATGTTAGCTTTATAAGAAACTGCTAAATTGTTTACCAGAGTGGCGGTACCATTTCCATCCCACTAGCAGTGCATGAGAGTTCCAATTGCTCCACATCCTTGCCAACACTTAGTATGGTAGGTCTAAATTTTAGTCTTTCAGGTGGGTATGTAGTGGTATCTCAACGTGGTTTTAATTTGCATTTTCCTGATGACAAATTATATTGATCATCTTTTCATGTGCTTACTGGACATTTGCATATCTTCTTTTGTGACACATTTATTCACATTTTTTTGCCCATTTAAAGAATTGTGTTGTCTTTTTATTGAGTTCCTTATACATTCTGGATATTTGTCAGTTTTTGAACTTCACATAAATAGAATAATAAAGCACAAACATTGGAATTTTTAAACACTCCCCACACGCTTTTAAAGTGTAGTCAGTGTTAAGCATCCCTGACTTAAACCAAATTCAAGTCACGTCATCCACCCACCATCCAATTAGTCATAAATCTTGTTGATTCTCCATAAATGTCTCCAAATCTGTCCCCATATTTCCATTTCCACTGAAACCACTCTTATTATCATGCTCATGGCCACCTCAGGGCATTTGTGCATGCTGTTCCCTCTCCCTGCAATGCTCTTCCCCCAGACATCCACCTGGTTTACTTCTCTCCAGTGTCACCTTATCAGAGGGGCCTTCCTCACCATTCCATTGCAGGACGCATTCCTACCCTCACTCCCCAGGCCCCTTACCTTGTTTCATCTCTCTCCATTGCATTTAGCTCCACCTCACACATTATATATTTATTTGTTTGTTGATTGTTTCTCTCCCTCCCTGGCAGCCCCCTAATGGCAGGCACTGTGTGATGTTCCTGCTGGATCTTCAGTGCCTGTACCAGGGCAGGCGTGGAATGAGCATTTGGTGAAGGAATGATGGGGTGGTTCTGTCCCCAGGGCTGCCTGAACAGGTCCCTACTGCCCTTGCTGCCTCCCTCCCTCTTCCCACCTCCCTTGCAGTCTAGGCTGCATTCAGACTACTTTCTCTAGAGCACAGCTGTGGGCCTGACCTACCCCTGTGCTAAAAGCTTCAGTAGATGCCCATCAGCCCGCAACCCAAGCCCAAAGGCATCAAAGGCTTTGGGGGATTTCGCTTCAGTCTCTCCTTCCAGCCTGTTTTCCCTTCACAATGCCAGGTTCTAGTGTCACCCTGCTCCTACGCCTCACAGAAAGTCTGATTTGCTGATTTTAAAACATTGAGTCCAATTTACTTTTTCTGTAAATCCTTTAGGCTTTGTGGGCCATATCGTTTCTGTTGCACCTACTGTACTCTGCCATAGTAGTGGAAAGCAGCCACAGACAAGACGTAAATGAGTGGGTGTGGCTGTGTTCCAATACAACTTGACTACAAAAACAGGCAGTGAGCTGGATTTGGACTGTGGGCCTTAGTCTGCCAACCCAATATAGAGGAATTTCACCAGAAAAGCTTTCTAGCGATCGAAGAAAACTCTATTGAGCCTATTATTTGAAAATGTAACTAGTGGAGTTTAAAAATAAATTTATCCTGCGATTCCCTATTTTCGTAGATGATAAGAAGGGACGATTGTAGACTTAATTTTCCAAACTGGGTCACCTTGGAGAGCGAAAGGGGGAGTCAACAGCGAATCAGGAGAGCAACGTGGAGGCTGTGACCAGCATGCAAAGCATACTGCATCCTCTGCACACTGGAACCACCTGGGGAGCTTACAGATGCTGAGGCCATGGGGGACCTTCCTAAAACCAGACCTAAATGGGCCCTGCCTCTGCAAGAGCCTGCCGGGACTCACAGAGGGCAACCTGGCTGGCCCAAGGGCTGCAACCATCCCACAGCCATTTTTGCTTGACTCTCACAGAATGCTATGTTAGGATTTGAATTTGTTGGCAACATTCAAAGATCTGCAGCTTTCCATTAAATCCAGATTTCCAGCTTCTCTTATAAAGCTTCACAGATCTGGCAATGCTGGGCCGACCGTCCCACATGGAGAGCAGCTGCCGGGCAGAAGGTGTTCCCTCTGGGCAGTGTATGTTCTTTCCGCTCAGCCATGGTCCCTATCACTCCCAGATGCTGCAGCCGGCACATCAGCTGCCTGTTATCATTGCAGTAAATGCTGTTCTCTCGTACACCTGCTGGGGTCACCCCCTTTTATATCCCAGCAGCCCCTATGTGAGGGTTTGTGACCCCAGCTAAGGCTCAAGCCTGGATGCATCTCAAAGGCTTGCTTCAGCCTCTCTACTTGCCTGGGATGCCTTCCTCCCCAGGCTCCTGCTGCCACACTTCTCCTTCCCACAAATTCCCATTTAGGGTTCCCCTGGGGGCGCTCTGTGAACGGACAGAAACCACCAGGCATCCCTTGATCCCTAAGTTTACCTCAATGTATTATAATTATCTACAACTTTATTCCTATTCCTTCCATGAAGAGGCCCCTTAAGGGCAAGAGTCTTATGTCTTATTCACTTTTTAATTCTCAGCATCTTGCCCAGAATCGGCCTTCAGTTAATATTTGTGGAATTGTCACTGAATGAATGTAGCAGGTGCTCAAGGATAAGAGAAAGAATAAATGAATGAGTAAGTAAATGAATAAACACAGTAACTTCTTTTTCCTTTTCTATTCCCAGCGTGCTCTTGGAGTCACTGGGGAACAGGTACTTCCTGGATATACACTGTTTCCTGGGCAAATTACTGTCTGTGCTTTGGTTTCCTCATCTGTACAATGAGATGAGAATCATTATATACTTCTCAGGGTGGTTGTGAGGATTAAATGAGACAATAAGTAGAAAGCGTCTAATACAGTGCCTGGCATATAAGCAGTCCTGACAGTTTAGCTGTTATTACCTTTCTCATCATATGAAGTGGGTGTCCTTGGCCCAATCACCTCTGGGAGACAGACAGCATGCCTGCACTGACAGGACACCTGTGGTTCAGCCCAGCCCCTAGAGCTCATGCAGTCAGTGGAGATTTGGATTTCATTGGTCTGGGCTGCGGCCTAGGCACCTGTCTATTTCTAAAGCTTCCCAAGTGAGTCTAATGATGAGCCAGAACTGAGAATGAAGGGTGGTAAGTGCTCTGAGAGACTGGGTGGGGATACCTGCAGGAGAGACAGGCACTCAGTCAGCCTGAAGCTGAACGTTGAAGAAACTGGCCAGCAACAAGCAACTGGAAATTGAAGTTGCGAAGCCACAGGAACTCTCATTCATTGATGGTGGGAATACAAAACGGTACAGCCGTTTTGGAAGAGTTTGGCAGTTTCTTTCAAAGCCAAACATAGTCTTAGCACACAATTCAGCAATCACATTTACCCAAATGAGTTGAAAACTTATGCCTACACAAAAACCTGTGAGCAAATGTTTATAGCAGCTTTATTCATAATTACCAAAAATCAGAAGCAATCACGATGCCCCTCAGTAGGGGAATAAGCAAACTGATACATCCATATAAGGGAATAGTATTCATTGGTGAAAAGAAATGAGCTTCAAGCCACAAAAAGACATAAAGGAAACTTAAATGCATATTGCTAATAAAGATGCCAGTCTGAAAAGGATGCTATAGGCTGCATGATTCCAGCTATGTGACATTCTAGAAAAGGCAAAACTACAGAGACATTAAAAAAAAAATCAGTGGTTGCAGGGGTTGGGGAGACAGAAGGAGGGATGAACAATGGAGCACAGGGCAGTGAAACTATTCTGTATACTTTAATGGTGGATACATGAAATTACGGATTTGGCAAAACCCATAGACTTGCACAATAGAAAAAGTGAACCCTAATACAAACTATAGACTTATAAAGTTAATAATAACATATAGGATTATCAATGGTAACAAATGTACCACACCAATGCAAGATGTTAATAATGGGGAAATGGGGGGAGGAATATATGGGGACTGTGTATTTCCTGTTCAGTGTTTCTGTAAATCTAAAACTGCTCTAAGAAACAAAACCTATTAATCTTTTTTTTTTTTTTTTAAGTTAAGGCTAAGTCTGCATGGAAGGAACTCTCGACTCAGGAAGGACTTAAGAGCCATGGAATGGGGAGAGTGGCACTCACCCACCATGCCACTTCCTGTGGCGAAGCAAAGATTCCAGAGGCAGTTGAGTGCACAGGGGACAGGGGACAGTGAGAAAGGGCTGAGGCCCCATCCAGGCATGAGCTTCCCTTGGCATTCCCAGCCACCACCTGGGGTCCTGAGGGTGGAGAGGAGACGGCCCAGAGAAGCCTAGCTGGGCGCCCTGTGCACTGCAGGACAAGGCTCACCGACTGCCTGCCTGGCCAGCATCAGTGTAGGGATGGGTTTGGGTTGGGGATGGGGTGAAGATGACTGGTTCGCCAGGCAGGAGTCCCGCTCTGAGAGGAACTCCCTCCTCCGTGTCCCTGGTCCTGTGGGACTGGCCCTAGGGCGGGAGGATGGGGAAAGTAGATGGCCCCAGGTCGCGTAGTTCCCGCTCCACCCTTCAGCGTGGTGCGAGAGGACTCGGTAGCAGAGCCCAGAAGAGGGCGGACCTGAGTTGGAATTCTGACTTTGCCACCTACTAACTACATGACTTTGAGCAGGTGACCCGCCCTTTGCGCCTCACTAATGCCGCGGGAAACACATGTCTGCCTGGAGAGGGGAGGGGGCTGTGCGTGAAGATGCACAGAACGAAGGCAGGGGCGTCCACGCTCTGCGTCGGGCGCGCAGTGAGCATCCAGCCAGCGGCAGCGCGCTCCGGGGAGCGTGTGCGCTCCGGCTCGGGTCCAGGCCCCCCGGCGGCTGCGGACTCCCCGGCTCCAGCCCGCGCCCTTCCGCACTTCCCCGCACTTACAGCTGTCACTCGGCTCCTGCTTTCGGGGGCCGCAGCAGCTCTGTCACTTCTTCCGGACGCCTTCTCGCGCTGCCCCGGCAACTGTCACCAGGGAAACCAGCAATGCCACCCGCGAAACGTCAGCACGAGTCTACGGAGGCTGAGAGGGCGCCGGGAGCTCTGAAAGGGACAGAGGCTCAGGTGAGCCGGGGTGCGGCGGTGTGGAAATAGGCGCGGTGGGCTGGAAGGGGGCGCCCCGTGCCTGAGACTTTAAAGCTGGTCCAGTGGTCCGCTTCTGGAATATATGTTTTAAAAGTTCTGTGGACCAAACGCTCTGCACAGAGATGCACATTCCGCATTCCTGCAGGGGAGTCGAAAAGCGAATGATCCCGCCACGAAAATTAGCGTAGCCATTCAGAATGTCTTTGACAAATGTAAAGCATTGCGGGAGAAAGGTCATGTTGTGATGGTAAGTGAAAAAAGCAGACCACACAATAGTAATTGCTAAATAAGTTGTGGGGTTTCTTTTGTTGTTGTTTGTTTGTTTTTTTTAGCTGAGCCATCCTGCCACCTGTTGGCAGCTCAGCTCCGGCCGGACTCGAACTGCTGTTGCTCAGAGCTCAAACCTTTGAGCGAGCTCTTAACTAACTGAGCCACTCAGCTGGCCCCAAGTTGTGGAGTTTTTAAAAGTAGGCACAGAAACAAGACTGAGAGGGATGCAGAGAAATATTAAAAATTATTATATTTGGGTGCTGGAATGGCAGTTCTGTGTTTTTATTTTTGCACTTTAGAGGAGTTTAAATATAGTGAACATGGTTTATTTTCATAGTGGAAAACACCTGTTTGTGTTTTTTTTTATAAAGTCACTTCCCAGTTTAAGTCGCTACTATAATATGTTCAGGGATATATGGTGGTGGGAGACAGATTTCTGGGAAAGGAGAGCCAAGGAAGTGTTTCATATATTTATCCAGGCCTTTATCATTTGAAAAGCTTCAGATACCCCATAAATGTTTTTCTTTCACTTTTTCCATAAGGCATTCACCTATAGACATGCATGAAGATATGGTGCCAGACCACACTTTGTAGAACTCCAGTACAATCTCACCACCAGAACACTGACGTTGACACACTCCACCTATCTTAATCACATTTCCCCAGTTTTACTTGTATTCATTTTTGTGTGTTTTAGTTCTACACAATTTTATCCCATGCTTAGTTTGACCACCACAGTCAAGACACTGAACATTTAAATCACAAGGATCCCCCTTGTTGGGCTTTTAGAGCCACACCCACTTCTCTCTTGCTCCCCCCCTCCCCGTCCCTAACCCCTGGTGACCACTTATCTATTCTCCATTTCTAAAACTTTGTCATTTCAAAAATATTATGTAAATGGAATAGTAGAATGTATAACCTTTTGGGATTGACTTTTTTTTTTTAAAGATTTACATCTGTGTTTCTTTCTTTTTTTTTAAGATTTTTTTTTTAATTGGGGAATTGGGGGGATGGGAACAGTGCTGGGGAATTGGGGGAAGGGGAACAGACAAGTTGCTGTCGTTTTGTTCTTCAGTCTAGTTGTGGAGGACGTTGCTTCACTGGCCCAAGTTGGCACCATTATTGAGCTCTTCCTGGGCGAGGCACATCAGTCGCCGGCTTCTGGACGGCCACTCACTGTGGCTGCTGGCCGCTCACTGTGGCTGCTGGCCGCTCACTGTGGCTGCTGGCCGCTCACTGTGGCTGCTGGCTACATACGGTAGCCCATGGCAACCCAGTGCCACAGGGGCTGCAGCCCACGCCGTCGCCTGCGACTCACAGCAGCCCAGCTCCAGGTTGAGCTGTTGTTCAGCATCTTAGCTGTGGAGGGCAGTGTCACTGGCCCTCATATGTGGGATCCGAACCGGGGTCCTCTGGCATTCCAAGCCAGTTCTTAACCATCGCGCCACTCGGCCGGCCCTGGGATTGACTTTTTTACTCAGAATAATTCTCTGGCGATTCATCCAAGTTGTGTGTTTCAATAATTTGTTCGTTTTTATTGCTGAGTGGTTTTCCATGGTAATGGATGTACCAGAGTTTGTTTAACCATTTCATCCATTGAAGGACTTGTGAGCTGTTTCCAGTTTGAGGTTATTACGAATAAAGCTGATGTGAACATTCATGTACAGGCTTTTGTGTTTTCACAAAAACCTAAGTTTTCATTTTTCTGGAATAAATGCCTAAGAGTACAGTTGTATGGGAATCACATGTTTAGCATTATAACAAACTGTCAACTTGTTCTGTAGAGTGGCTGTGCATTTTACATTCCCACCGGTGATGTAGGAATAATTCCGTTTCTCCACATCTTTGCCAGTGTTTAATGTTGTCACTATTTTCTATTTAGCCATTCATAGGTGTGTAGTGACATCTCACTGTGGTTCTAATGTGCATGATGAATAATGATATTGAACATTTTTTTCAGGTGCTTATTTGCCATCTGTATATCCTCTTTGGTGAAGTGTCTGTTCATGTCTTTTGCCCCATTTCTAACTGTTGAGCTTTGAGAATTCTTTATATATTCTAGCTAGTAGTCATTTGCTGGGTATGTGGTTTGCAAATATTTTCTCCCAGTCTGTAGCTTGTCTTTTAATTCTCTTCACATGGGCATTCATAGAGTAAAGCTTTCAAATTTGGATTAGGTCCAATTTATCAATTTCTTTTGTTTATGGATCATGTTTTTGGTGTCAAGTGGTGACAAGTGTAAGAATTCCTTGCCTAGTCCTGTAACCTAAAAATTTTCCCGATTTTTTTTTAATTGGGGAATTGGGGAAGGGAACAGTGTTGGGGAAGGGGAACATTGTGTTTTTTCAGGACTCATCATCTCCAAGTCAAGTTGTTGTCCTTTAATGTTAGTTGTGGAGGGCGCAGCTCAGCTCCAAGTCCAGTTGCAGCTCTCAATCTAGTTGCGGGGGGGCGGGGGGAGAGGTAGTCCACCATCCCATGCGGGAGTCAAACTGGCAATCTTGTTGTTAAAAGCATGAGCTCTCACCAGCTGAGCCATCCTGCCACCTGTTGGCAGCTCAGTGGCAGCTCAGCTTGGGCGCAGCTCACTGGCCCATGTGGGAATCAAACCAGCGACCCTGTGGCTCAGAGCTCATGCTCTTAACCAACTGCCCCACCTGGCCAGCTGCCCTATGATTTTTTTTTTTCTCTTCAATCTAGTTGTGGAGGACGTTGCCTCACTGGCCCAAGTTGGCACCATCATCGCGCTCCTCTCTGGCGAGGCAGATCAGTCGCCGGCTTCTGGACGGCCGCTCACTGCGGCTGCTGGCCGCTCACGCTGGCTGCTGGCTACATACGGTAGCCCATGGCAACCCACTGCCACAGGGAGTGCAGCCTACGCCGTCGCCGGCGACTCATGGCAGCCCAGCTCCAGGTTGAGCTGTCGTTCAGCATCTTAGCTGTGGAGGGCAGTGTCACTGGCCCTCATATGTGGGATCCGAACCGGGGCCCTCTGGCATCCCAAGCGAGTTCTTAACCATCGCGCCACTTGGCCGGCCCCCCTATGATTTTCTTAAAGTGTTAGAGTTTAATGTTCATGATTTATTTTGATGTAATTTTTCTGTAAGGTTTTGGTGAAAGCTTTTTTGGTTTTTTCCTATGGGATGTCCAATTGCTTCAGCACCATTTGTTGAAAGGTATGCTTCCTCCATGGAATTACTTTTGAACGTATGAAAAATCAGTTGAGCAAACTCAACAACAAAAAAACCCAATTCAAAAATGGGCAAAGGACTTGGACAGACATTTCTCCAAAGAAGATATACAAGTGGTCCATAAGCACATGAAGAGATAGTCTATATCACTAGCCATTAAGAAAAAGAAAATCAAAACCACAGTGTGATACCACTCCATACCCATTAGGATGGCTATTATTTAAAAAATGGATAGTAACAAGTGTTAGCCGGGATATGGAAGCACTGGAACCCTTAGGCATTGCTGGTGGAAATGTAAAATGGTGCAGCCACTGTAGAGAAGTTCCTCGAAAAGTTAAACATTGAATTACCATATGATCCAGCAATTTCACTTCTGGGTATGTGCCCAAAATATTAAAGCAGGACTCACACAAATACTTGTACACCAATGTTCATAGCAGCGTTATTCACAATAGCCAAAAAGTGGAAACAACCCCTGTCCCTCAACAGATGAATGGATAAACAAAGGTGGTATATTCATACAGTGGAGTATTATTGGGCCATAAAAAGGACTGAAATTCTGAGATACGCTACAACATGGATGAACCTTGAGGACATTAGGCTAAGTGAAATAAGCCAGACACAGAAGGGCAAATATTGTGATTCTGCTTATGTTAGGTACCTAGAGTAGACACATTCATAGTGACAAAAGTAGAATAAAGGTTGACAGGGGTGGGGACGGAAATGGGGAGCGATTGTTAAAGGGAATGAAGTTTCTGGCTGGGATGAGGAAATGGTTCTGGAGGCAGATGGAGGTCATGGTTGCGTAGCATTGTAAGCGCACTTCGGGTCACTGAATTGTACACTTAAGAATGGTTAAACGGTAAGTTTTGTTATGTATATTTTACAATAAAATTTCTAAAAAGTTAGTTGAGCATATGTGTGTGTGTCTAACTGCTCTTTTTTCTAATTCCCAAATTAGGTCCTTCTCACAGTTCAATGTAGCTCCAGCTTTAAAGTGGGACCCTTATCCATGCCTATGTATCTTTTTTTTTTTTAAGATTTTTTAAATTGGGGAAGTGGGGGGATGGGAACAGTGCTGGGGAATCGGGGGAAGGGGAACAGACAAGTTGCTGTCGTTTGGTCTTTCAGTCTAGTTGTGGAGGACGTTGCTTCACTGGCCCAAGTTGGCACCATCATTGTGCTCTTCCCGCGTGAGGCAGATCAGTCACTGGCTTCTGGACGGCCGCTCACTGCGGCTGCTGGCCGCTCACGCTGGCTGCCGGCCACACACGCGGCCACACACGGTAGCCCATGGCAACCCACTGCAACCCACTGCCACAGGGGCTGCAGCCTAGCCGCCGCCGCTGGCCACTCAGGGCAGCCCAGCTCCAGGCCGAGCTGCCGAGCTGCCGAGCTGCCGAGCTGCCGAGCTGCCGAGCTGCCGAGCTGCCGAGCTGCCGAGCTGCCGAGCTGCCGAGGGCAGTGTCACCAGCCATCACATGTGGGATCCGAACCGGGGCCCTCTGGCGTCCCACGCCAGTTCCCAACCATCGCGCCATTCGGCCGGCCCTGCCTATATATCCTTTAAAAGGTAAAGTCACCAAACAGATTTCCCCTCACTGAAATTATATTCTCTCCTGCAAATAAGTACATAATGATCCTACTCTTACAATGAGAAGCAAAATTGAATTAAACTATCAGAAGTAAGAATACCTGGGTATTAACTCTGTGATGTTTGTCAAGTCTTAAACTCCAACTTTCTTAAAATTGCAATAGTACCCTTATTACCATGACTAATAGGTCATGAAAGTGCTTTGCAAACTGAAATGCTCTTCAGTCGTATTATTACAGATTTAGCTGTTTTGCCTCAAAATGGAAGTAAGCTTTGCTGCTGCTTAAAACCAAGGCTCCATTTGGCTCTTCCCATTATAGATCTCAGCTTTGCAGGTCCAAAATCTAATTGGGTCATTGTACCAGGAGTGTCTCTCGGGGCTAGACCTGTTGCAGTCACAAGGCTCGCGTGTTCAGCACATCAAATATTTAATATCTGACAGATCAGAGTTTGGAATAAGGAAAGGTTTTTTTCGGAATGGCACCATGATGAGAAAATGGGAGACTTCTAGTTTTTTCAAATCCATCGTAAAAGCACCCCAAATTTTAGCACCTTATATATCCAGGGAAGGCAGAAGGGGCAGGGCAAGAGAGGAGATCCTAGGAAGCGTGGGGCAATCTCTACATCTCTTTGCTCCCAGCTGATCAGACCAAAGTTACTCACATGTCAGGCAGAACAGCTCTAGTCAATTAGTATTATCTATAGACATGCAGGCTGGAATTAGGGGAGTCAAAGAATAGAAGCACCTCACCCTGTTACAGACCTACACCAGTCATAGTATTAAGGGGTTGAGATGTAACCCAGAACATTAAGCCACCAGTTTACTTCAGGGGATTGCGACTGATAGCCAGAGAGCCTCTCCCTTCCCAGAATCTGACACCCACGAAGGCAAGAGTCATCAGAAAGATATTGTGAGCATGGATTCAGAGCAAACAGATATTTTTGACCAAGGGTTATTTAGGCCTTATTAAATATTTCTCTTCACAGTCAGGAGCCCCCACATAGATAAAACTTTTTCTCCAGGTTCAAGTCCCTTCTTGCTGGAAGGTACTGGCTACACACTGCCAGTTCTACGCCTCTTCGATTCGCCATGGATTTGGGCTTTCTTTATGGGCCACTAGCCTCTCATGGATTACCCTCAGTACACTTTGTGTTTTAGTTTAACATCATTTTGGCTGCAGTCAAGTCTTATTTTATCCATGGAGCTATTCTAAGACGTTTTTGTATATAGGGTGATCTCATTCATCATGTTGACTTTATTAGAAAACGCAATGTTCTGCCAAGATTCATTAGTCTTGGGTCCCAGGGACTCTCTGATGGATGAGATCTGCTCTGACTCCCTGCCAAGCCCTCCGCGCAATGGATTGCCAATATAGTTTATATTTTCCTCCCAAACTTCTCATTCCCACTCTTGCTTTCAGTGCACTTGAATGAAAGTCACCTGGCCCCAGGGGTAGTTTCCCCTCTGTTGATTAGGACCCCAATGCCTGGTGTGCTTCCTAGCTTTTCACTTACCACCTCGACAGTCAAGACCATTTGTATATGGGAGTCTCCTCATCTTCCTTCTTATAGAGGTCGGAACCAATATTGACTGAAGATTTTCACTTATGAAAACATCTGAGGATAACGTAGCTATAGCGTATCGGAAATAATACTGGGCTTGGGACCTGGATGTGCAGTGTGTATGTGTGATGGAGGATGAAACGAAGAAAGGGAAGGACAGGTGTTTCTTAGACAGGCACGCCTTTAGGTACCTGCCCTGCCTGCCATCATGCAGTCTCTCCATGTGACCAAGGCTCTCATGTTCGGCATTTGTGACCCAGCTCTGTCACTTTTCAATCGGATGGCCTTGAATAAATTCCAGCTTTCCTCATGGAAAAATTCAGGATAATATGTGCTTCAGAATTTTTGTGAGGAACTCATGGCAAGGGGTATTAAAGCATTTTATATACAGTAAAGCACTGTACATAATCATCCTAGTGGAGCATTCATTGTTTTAAACTCGAATATGGCAAGACCTAAAAAAAGGTAAAGTGCACTGTGGCCTAGAAGAGTACGGAGAAGCTTTATTGGAAGTAACAGTTGGGTTGCGTCTTTAAGGAGAGCACTGAATTCACTGGGAGTGAAGAAGAACATTCAGGAAAGGAGCAGAGCATAAGCAAAGGTGTGAGGGGCGGGGGTGAGCACAGGGCTTTGGCATCAGTGTTGCCATGGAGGCCAGGTGACACCTCCTGTCTAGGAGGTGAAGGGCCCAGGTTTAGTGGTGGCCGACAGGGAGAGAAAAAGGACACGTCTGAGGGAGGTGAGACTTTGCTTATGAGAAAGTGGCAGGACTTGGTGACTGGTTTAATAGTGATGAATGACAAGAGGAAGGAAAAACACTTCTAAGAGTCTGAGCCCAGAATGGGACAGGGAGCTGGAGGGTATCGCTGACAGAAACGGGTACTCCAGGAAGGAACACCAGCCAGCAAGACACTAAGTATGGCTGTGGACAGGCTGCACTTAGGTGACAGGGCTCTAGCTGAAAGGCATGGAGACATTTCCACCCCACACTGCAAAATTTTAGTCACTCTGTGACACTTCAGAATTACACTGGGGGCAGGAAAAAGACTTCACACCGATGTTATAAGCAGCTCAGAATACTACAGAGAGGATCTGTTGCTAAGCTCCTCTGAGGGGACCAAGTGGACGCTGGCCTCCACTCCATTTAGCACTACTGAATTTAGGAGTAAATTTCCTAAGTTTTTTTCTGCTTGCGAAAAAAATTCTTTTGCCTCATTTCAGTGACTAAGGGGAAAGTAGGCTCTCATTATTAAGGCTGGTGCATGTTTGGTTTCCTTTTTCAAATTTCCCTATTTTGTTTGAAGAGCTTTCAAACAGGATCAAGTGTATAAGTATTATTTTGGCGGTTCCACCATTTGGCACAGAGCTTTAAAATACCTTATGTTCATTCAGCTTTGTCCTGGCCTAGTAGATATGTTGCCACAGGCTGTGCATTCACATGCGGATGGATCCTAAATTTCCAGTTCTTGAAACTCTGGGCATTTTCTCATCTGAGGCAAGAGGCGTGGCCTACAGGACCCACTCTCCACTCCAACCCTGACTCATACAGAAGCAGAGGGGACTTATACAGGTGTGGAGTCAAATTCCAGCTCTCACCACCAGATGTCACTGTTGCTTACTGGAAATACGTTAACTTTTCTCTGGGGACAGCAGGATCAGGCATGTGAAAGAAACAAAACCTACTTGTTCTAATTAATTCAAAGACTTATTGAACACCTACTTGTGTATGAAGCAGGCACTAACGCCAGGTGCTCTGGATGAAAAAGATCATCACGCCCTCAGACTGCTGGAGGGGAGAGGTGTGGAAGCAATCATACACCAATGCTCCAGTAACACACAACCTTAAGCCAAGGGATGGAACTCTCAGTGACAAATCAGCATATCATCTCCTTAAGGTAGAACATCGCTTCCTCAGGGAGACCTTCTCTGACTCCAACCCTGGGTTAGGTCCCCCAGCCTACTGCATCCTATTCCTAGCATTCATGATGCTTTTTGTAATCACTTAGTGCCAGCCTTTCCTGCTAGAGTGTAAGCTGTGACAGGGCAGGGCACATGCGTCTCCTGTTCTGTTACATTCCCAAGCTTAACACGGTAACAAGGTAACAGCAAGCATTTCCTGAGTTTGCTAATGCGTCAGGTGCTATGCTCAGCCCTTTATATTCACCATTGCATTTAATCTTCCCAACAACCCTAGACCACTGATGTCCCCATTACACAGATGAGGAAACCATGGCTGCTTGGCTAGTAGATGGCAGGACCATGAAGCCAGGTCTGATTCAATAATATGTAATATCATATCCACTGGAGCCACTTTAAAGAATTTCCATAATCTGATGTCAGCCTATTCATCCACCCCAATTTACTATTCTCTTCTTCAGGCAAGCAACCCCACTCATTTTCTCTTGATCACATAATCATCACTACCATCTCAACACTTCACTTTGTTCTATCTCTGGCATTTGAAACTATTTAGTTCACAAAATCAGTAATATACTCATCTGTTAGAATGACAATTTTTCTGAAACTTGTTCCCAAATTTGTTCTTCTACAGAAGGCTTATCCTTCATGAAACAATTGTGAGGACTGCCTACAAGCATCTCCTATAACATCTATTGGAAGCTGATTAAAGTTCCTAGTAATAACTTATATTTTTTAAGCATTTTCTCATAGACCCATATAATGATCTATAAGGTATATAGGACCATGGAAATTACCTAGAGCAATCTCTCATTTCATAGCTAGGAAAATATTTGGTCCAGGTTATACAGTCGGTGGGGAGCCAAGACCATGCTATAATCTCTTGTCTAATTTTAACTGGTGCTCCTCTGGCATTTATTTCACAAAGACCAACATCATTTCAAGTCTTTTTAACACCTGTTGGCATCTACCACTTGACTGCTCAGGTTCCAGTCCCAAACCTCCAGCTTCCTCCAGCTCTGTGACCTTGGGTTAGTGACCTCAACTGTTCATGCCTGTCTCCTCTGTGAAATGAGGATCACAGCTCCTACCTCTTAGGTTGTCAGGAAACTTAGACAAGATCCATGAAAAGTGCTTAGAGCAGTGTGCGGCACATGGGTGAAGCTCCGTAAATGTTAGCCGTTATTCCTATGTGGTAAATATTCTTGAACCCTGGTTCTTACCAAAGGTACAAAATGTTCTCTCTCTTTCCTGGAAACTTAATTTTTATGCTACTTTGAGCAACGATTTATTTTTCTAAATTGAAATAAATACAAGACATCTGATGTGTTCATTTACTTTAATAACACTACATTTACCATGTTGTCACCATGGAATGTAAATTCAGGTTAGACAAGAGAATTTCACAAGTACAGGAAAGCCCTCTATAGTACATCAAAGTTTGTATATGTCTGGCTGGCTTGCTCATAAATCATTACTCATTTCCATTATAGGTAATTTGTTTAGCTTAACATTTATAATTGTTACAGAGAAAATAAACATACAGCACACATTTTAAAAATGTTTTTCATTATTTTGTATTAGCACTTAAAATACATGTTTCTATTTTAAGATGACATTAAAATATTATTCTAATATAATAGCAGCAAAAATACAATTCCACAATTACGAAAGACCTAATCTGAGATCCACAATTAAGTTATTCTCCTGTTTACAAGTATGATCCTGAAATAAATACTACTTTTTAGTAGCACTGCTATCGGCAATTTAGGTTTGGGTTAAACACACACACACACACACACACACACACACATTTTCAGTGTGGGGAAGCTTGTAACATTGCATGCCATGCACTGTTCTGAAAGAGTTCTTCAAGAGCCAACCAGCCCTAAAAACTGAAGTGCTCCTTCAGTCCATAAGGTAGGCAGAAAAAAGTTAAATTAACAGGGACAAATGGGATTCCTACATAACACCAAAAGCATGTGATGTTCTGCAGCAACTGGGAGTACTTTGGGATTGGCATGTTGTCTTCTTTTAGAACGAATTTCATCAGAAGGGTTTAACAAGGTGGACATTTTACCACAATCCAGTGCATTTAAAAGTGACACTTTCCTTAGGTGCTAACTTGACTCCCCTGAACAACCTAGTTAGTGAACTAGTCACTAGTAATTTAGTCAACAGGCAAACAAGCCTGCAAGAAAGGAAGCCAACAGTCAAATTACCGTGTTATTGTCTGACCCAAACAATTTATTTTCAACATAAACATATAACCTCAATATGAGATGTCTAGCTATAGCAAACATCACCAACCAGACCAAGGCAGCGTCTCTTCTAAGGTTTTGGTTTTGCCCAGTATTCCCGATACATGGAGTAGCCCATACCTAAAGAAAAAGAATGCTAGTTAAGCATTTAAATATGTTTTCAATATTAAGACAATTAAAAAGCTCATAAAATAGCTGAACGTAGCACCCTTGCTAGCATGTGATATTTACAAGGGGAACAAGACCCTAGGCTGCTCTTGCCTTCTAAAACAATTTAAATTTCTAAAATTCTTTTCAGTTTCCCAAGTAGATTGAGGCTAGTGTGACTAGCTCAGACTGTTAAAAATTTTTTTTTTTTTTAACAAGAGAACAAATCCATTTTATTTACTTCTCAGTAAATTTAAATCCTTGAGGGGTACAGCATTACACAGATTCTGTGTCCTATGGCCTTGGCAGGAAGGTTGCTTCGGAATTTGGCACGAACCATGCCACTGTTTCCATGAGCACTCTGGTTTTGTTCGGTTTGCCACCAGGAGTCACTGTGTTGTTCTTTGCCTTGTACACATAAGCACATCTCTTGCCTAGATAGAACTCAGTTTTATCTCGAGCATAAACACCTTCAATTTTAAGAAGTGCTGTGTGCTCTTGCTGGTTCCGGAGACCCCGCTTATACCCAGCAAAAATGGCTTTGGACCACAGCCTTCCAGACATATTTGTCGTTTTGGAAGTCCTGTTCCCAGCAGGCCTCCCCAGGCCCCAAGATGGCGGAAAAAGCTTAAAGTATTTGTTTTAAAAGACAATCAGTATTTATCTGGAACCTTTAAAAGGAGTCACTCTTGCTACACAATACCAGATAAAGTCAATTAATTATAAAGCCAGTAAAAGCATGTAATACCTACATTAAAAAAAATCTTTTCCACTTTCAAAACCTCAGCAAAATAGTAATCATGTCTTTCCCAGATAATGGATCTTACTTCCAACCCTATCTGCATGTCTAGGCTCTTAATGAAATTATAGACTCAGTGAACAGGATTGCCTTTCCCTCCCTCTCTCTCTCTCTCTCCCTCCCTCCCTTCCTTCTGTTTAAACCTACTTAGTAAGATATTTCACAGAGAGTAAAACTGTGTCACTACTTGAACTATTTTTATTAATTCATTTTTTCCATGAAAATAAATGTGATATTTGCAAGCTGCTTCAATGTTAGCTAAAAGTATCTATCTTGTTTTATTTACAAAGAAATCCATTACTGGGAACCACAAATGTGAAAATTTCCTTTAGGAACCTACCAACAGTCATTGCTCCCACAACAAAGCCTTGGGCTGCCACGCGCATGTGGATCAGGTGAATGGACATTTTGGTATTTCCCCTGCTCTTCAATTTATACAATCCATATGCAACAATTGCTGCAAACCCCGCCATTCCTGTAAAACAAACAGTCACAAGTATGTCAGATACATGGGGGCAGGGAACCAAGATGATTTCACCATCAATCACTGTACTTTCTACTATTTTTATAAGGATGCTTTATGAGATCATTAATTAGCTAACATACACATCAAGTTTTTAATTTCCCCCTCAGAATAGAACCCCAGATCCAAAATTGGTAGCAAACAGTAGCAGATCCAAAGAGTTCAGATCTTCGAAATGTGGGCTTGTGAAGCCTGTAGATAAATTCCTTTAAGAGCACCAGGGGAACTCTTCCTATCTGTCCTACTTCCCTCTCTGAAAGGAAGCAGTTAATATAACAGAGACTGTAATAAACCATAACTGTGATTATAACAGCTTTTTTAAAAGTCCTATGAGTCCTTCCAGCAAATTATTGAGACAGGGTGGTCTTAGGGGTCCCCCAATAAATTCACTGAAATATGAGTCAATAAAACAAGAAGTCTAAATACACAGAATTTTTATGAAAGCTATATCATGCCAATCTCAGCATATTTTAACACGTAAAAAATATTTGAAAATCAATGATTTATGGATGTGCTTGATGAAAGAGTTGATTACACTCGACTGTGTTAAAGCATACAACAGATTATTAGAACATCAAAGGTAAACTTACCAATGGGGACAAATGGTGCTTCTTTAGCTTTTCGAATAAGTTTAGATCCCTGATCTTCATCATATGAAGAAATAGAAACATCTGTGTTGGATGACATAGTGATTGAAGAATCTTCCTGAAAGAGAATTTCCATGAGGTTCTGCAATCAATACCAACTAAAACAATATAAATGGATGTACTTAAAATAATCCTAGTTTCCATAAAAACCTGGTATATGGTATCTATGAACTTTAAAAAATATTTTTAGAAAACTGCATTTTTAATGATAGCCACCTTTAGAGAGGGTTGTATGTTTTTATCCCCCGTTTTGATGATTCTCCCATATAATCAATTCCTTTTAAGTACCACATTGTTAATAACAGTGAATTTTAAAAAATTAATTACTTTTGTCAATTAAAATAGTAGCTATTAAGTTTATGAGTATCTTCATCCTTAGTCAACTTCAACTTGACTTTAAATTAATTACTCAAACTGATACTCCTTATTGCCTCTTTAATATCATGTTGAAAAGCCCACTAAATGCTTTTGAGTGTAGTTAAGTGTAGTCTTTATTGTTTTCAACTGCAACTGATTTATTTATTCCAACATGCTACCGGGCTTCAGTTCCCACCTCTGAATAGTTTCCAAACTATTACACTAATCTCTATTATTGATAGTGGCTGTCTTTGGGAGAAGATTATAGTTATTTTGAATAGCCGAAATTTCTACTTAGCTCACTATTTACTCCTTTTGAGAACAAAGCTTTTATTTTAAATACTGTTGCTAGAAACGTCTCCTTTTAAACATAACTTATGTTCAATTGAACTTTTAGTTTTTTGACTTAGGGTTATCATTTTTAATATTACTGGTACATAAAACTGAACTACCCTCAGGGTCTCCTTAATGACTATCTCCTAAGCTTTAGCTGTCTTCCTTTACACATCATATATTCCCTGGGCCTCCCTCTTAAAAAATTCTCTACTTTCTTTTATATTATTCCTTTAAGTGGTACCAAAAAAGGCGAGATACTAGCCCCATCATATGAATAAGGGGGCAGGAAAAAATTCATTTTCATTATCACAGGGACAAAGGCTCCATTCTCCCTTCTCAGTCATCTTTCTTTACACAGGAAGCTAACAGGCGTTTCATCACAATGATGCAATAACAAATTCAATTTCACCTTAGTCACAGTAACTGTGTATCTACTTCCTTCTTCACTGAGCTGATTTGAACTGCCTATAAACTTTACCCATAAAGTAAGGGAGTCAAACAGTATGTAAGTGTACAAGTCTCTGACTGGTGTCAATTACAATAAACTTAAAAGTCAACTGCCCATCCCACTACCCGTATAAAATCTTAGTACCTTCACTTCTGGGTTTTCCACAGGCATCAATCATACAATATCTTTCATTCAACACTTTGCTATTCAAGGAGTGTTAGTAGTGGTTCAGGCCCTCAAATAAAATCCAACTCTAGGGGTGAGGCTTAGTACTTAGCTTGAAAAGTAAAATCACCCCTTCAAGTCCCCAGACCTACTGGGAAGAGTCTAATTCTGTCATTTGACAGAGAAAACCACCTTAATCCAGAGGAGTTGTGCAGTATCACACATCTCAACGGAAGAAAACTCAGATTAGAACTAGTGTCTCTCTGTCTCTCTCCTCTGTTCCCTGCTAATTGAATAAACCCTTACAGAGCTTTTATTACATACAAGGTTCAAGAAGCTCAAGGTTCAGAATGCTCACTATATATCTGAAGAGATAAAACAAACACTGAAGTAATGGTCCAAAAAGTAGATTTAAAAAAAAAAGAGACATAATATAATGTGATTACTTGCCAGTAGCATAATAGAGAGAATGAGAACTGAATTTAGAGTGTGAGGTCTTTTAGCTAAAGTAGGTTTGGGAAGTTTCACAGAGAAATATTTGAAATTGGTCTTTAAGAAACTACATAAATGGACAAAATGGAGATTAAACATTGTATTTATTTTAGGTTAGTATATGTTTGTTAGTTACCTTCGTAACTAATCATAAGCTTCTTAAAGGCATAACTTTTATCACAAATTCTCCTTCCACCTCCCTTGCCAAATCCACATTCTAATCACATTGAACTTCTTACAGATGCTCTCTGTACCTCCAAGCCTTTGCACAGGCTGATTCCTCTAACACTTTTCCTCCCTTTCCATCTCCTTCATATACTCTCTTTCCAGGCTAATTCCTCCCATTTTTCAGGTTCTTACCTTAATTGACCTCCTGTGGAAGTTCTCTGATTCTCTAAGTTTATAAGTGTTTTGGTTATGCAGTCCCATACAACCCCACGTTTTCTCTATAATAATTCTTTCTTATAAATGCCTATTTAATTCTCTTGCTGGAATCCTTGAATTCAGGAGTCTACACCTCCCTGCTTGTATTTATCTCTACTGCCTGGCAAAATGCTTCACATGTAGAAAGTACACGACAAAATGTTAGTTCAATAAATTTAAAAGTAATATTTTTCAATAGTTAAAAATCATTTGCAGGTAATTTATTTAGGAATATTGTTTTTTAAAAGCAAGAAAGTAGGTAGTTTTTTCTCTAACCTCTCACATCTAGATCACTATAATTCCAGGTCAATTGAGTGAAAGTTTTTTTGCCTCCCTCCTCCCAGGAGGGAGGGGAATGGCTGACTCTATCCTGTATATGAAAGAACAGAAGACAATCCACTGATCTCCATTCCTCATGTATGATACAAACTCTGAAGTTTATATGGGTTTGGTCTGGCTTTCAGAAAGCAGTACCTAGGAAAAGAATCAGGGTGTGGTCATTATTTGCATTAAATGACTAATGATGATTTGTTTCTGATCTCTGATCCATAACACTGTGTGAACATTTCAGGACAAAATTAATAAAGAGGAATATTAAAAATCCAACACTTACATCAAATTATATTTTATACCATCTTATACATTTTAACAGTACAATATATTTATAACTCTCCCTGAATATAAGGTTTTGATAATTCTCTTCCTAATTACCACCTAGAAGTTCCCCAAGTATTTATGATTTACAGCCAACTGAAAATGGTTAACTTTTAAAGTATCAGGGTTAGTAACTTTAAATCATATATTTTGAGACTAACAACCCAGATGATTAATTCATGCCAACAGCCTTATTTTACAGATCGAAAAACGGTTAGGAAGGGTTATATGAATTGCTCAACAGCAGGAATACATTTCTGGCAGGGTAGGACTAGAATCCAGCTCTCCTGATACACAGTCCAGTGTTCTTTTGATTGACAATATATTGCCAACTCATGAATCTCATGATGTTGGTATATTTCTAATATGAAAATTATTAAAATCCATTCCTTAACACAAGCTGGCATCTCCTTCTTTGAATTGTAAAAAATATGCAAGTCATGCCTAAAATTAAATGCAACCTTATTCCGCAGCGACTAATCTAACAATTTTGAAAGATTTTTTTTTTCACTAGCACCACCTCTAGGTTTTCCTTTATTATCATTTTTTTCATTCACCCACAGCAACTGACCCAGATCTCTGTCAGAAAGTTGAACAGGTGCAAAAAAGAGGCACCAGTAACCAGATATTCAAAGCCAATTTGGAAAACGCAAATTATCCTGTACCATGAGTAAGATACTACTGAAGACCTTCCCGAATGCTTCAGCACGTACAAAAGGCATACGGGAAGATGAGCTGCCCAGCATCAGGCGATGCAACCGACTTGGAAGGGTCTTCACAGCCTGTCCTTTTGGTCTCAGGAACTACTGCTGAACAATGGTCTGATATTTTGATTTTGCATCAGTCACCTGTCAGCTTGTTTAAAAATGGTCCCACCATAAAGACTGATTCAGAAGGTCTGGGGCAGGGCCCAAGGAATGTGAATTTTAAGAGGTCCCCTCTAATGATTCTGGTCCACACGGGAAGTAAGGCAAGGCCTGGTACACAGGACTCAAAGACGTCTGTCATGCTGGGGCCTGGTACCACCTCCATCGGTCAGAATTGTCCATCCCAGCCGTTCCTACCCAAGGGCCTGGGTACTTCCGGAAGTACAGATGCCAAGGGTAGGAATTACGCCGACGAGGGAAACAGCCGCTTCCCATACCGGGAATGGAAAGGGAAGGGCGAGGAACACTGCCGAACCGTCTCGGCCGCTCCCAGCTCTAAACCCACGCTGTGTTTTGGAGTCTCTAACCAGAAGAATTTAAAATTCCATCACAGGTGCTTCAGACAGGGCCTGAGGCCTCCTCACCTTCCTTCCTAGGGCAGGAGAGGGTCGCCGAGGGTGGGAGGAAACACGGGGTCGGGGAGAACAGGAAGGTCGTGCGCTTTTACGCCCTCCCCTCAACCTTCCCACCTTCCTCCCCTCTCTCCTCCCGTGACCTTGTCAGGACTCCGTGGCCGGAGCGCTCGCCCTCCCGGCCCCTCCTCGTCCGCCGCTTGGCTCCGCGCTCCGGGCACGCTCCACGCTCCGGGGTTCCCGGAGTCGGCCCCAGCCCCCTACACGGGTCACTCATTATTGCCCCATCCGTCCGTCTTCCCTTTCCGCCACGATTCAATCGACAAACGTTTGCTTCATCTCACTGGGAGCCGTATCCTCTCACCCGACAGGGCGTCACACCACGTCTTTGGACCCCCCCTGAACCACGAGGTCCGGCCTGACCCCCGCCCACTATACACATAGCTCGCCCCCTTCATTCCAGGCCTCGCCCCCGCTCTCAGCCCCGCAGCCCCCAACCCTCCCAAGACGCTCTCGGCCCGGCCAAGCGCGGCCCCACTTCCTTCCACACTACGATAGGGCGTCCCCCGCTCTCAATACCCCTTTCACACTTGACTTACAAAGAACCCCAAGCTCTCGCAAACTTCAACTGGCTTCTGACCCCAGCCCGCGCGAGCCGTCTGGCCGGCTTCTACTCGTCCCGCCCACAGCCGGCTCCAGCCAATCAGAAGCCAGGGCTGGCATGCGGGGGCCGGGTCTGGCCGGGTGGGTGCAAGCTTGTCCACGGTGGGTGGGGCGGCCCGGAGCGGGTCCCGGATTGGCTGGGGCGACGCGCTGCGGCTCCCGTACCCCGGATCTCGCGTAGATACCGCGTCAGAGGTGAGAGGTCGGCGTCTCCACTTTGCGTGAGGGTGTTGGATGGGACTCTTGGCTTCTGGTTCTGTGGTACTTAGATTTCTGTCGTCCTTTTCGCGTGGGGCGGCGGAGGCGAGCAACGTGAACGCCGTGTCCCGAGTGCGGGCCGGGTGGGGCTGGGGATGAGGGGTTTCGACCGCGGCGAGCCCTTGGGAGGCTGCGGGTGCGGTTGGGGAGCACGGTCCTGCTCTCCGGGGGCGCGGACGGCGGGGGGGGACGGAGCGCTCGATCCATTCCACTCCTCTGGTGGATGTCCGTCACGAACACGCGCTGTCGGGTCTCCATGTGGAACCATTCATGGAGCTTACACTCCATTTGGGGGGCAGCCATTAATTAACAGCACCGAGTTGCTGGCGCTGGGACCTCAACCGGATCAGGGGAGGTTTCTTTGAGGAAGGAAGTGTCCGAGGCCCCTGGTGACAGTGAACTTCCGGGAACGGAGCCCCTAATTTGTTCGTGGAATAAGATAGTAACGATGCAAATGGGGCGAATTGATGCAAAGCTTCAACGACTGTACCGTATATCTGTGACTAAATTAGAATCTCTTAATATAACCACAAAACGAGGCAGATTGCCCAGTGCTGTCATACAAGTAGACACTAAGTGCCATGGGTTTAGGATTTTGAAACTCTTTGGTCTCATAATTAAGACGCCCGTAGGAAACATTCATGTTACGTTTGATAAATTTAAAACCCCATACCTTGGTGAAGTGGTAGGCCTTCAGCGCCTTGAAGGTACATATTTTGTCTGGTTCATGCCAGTATCTCCTGGAACACTTTTGGGGTTCAGGAGGAGCCCAATAATGTTAAATGAGGGAAAGACATAACCGATGCAGTAACTGGAGGGCTTCAAAGATAAGGAGGAATAATCAAGGACTCATTTAGGATAATTAAGCGGATGAAAGAGCCTGGCACACTTGAATCTGAAGGTAAACCAGAAGCCCTCATTGTCTCTTCATTCTGGAAATACAAAGGCTAATAGCAGCAGCGACCACAGCATATTTATTCCTGAAGCGGATTTATGCAAAAAAAAAAAAAATGTTAGCTAATTTGCTAATTTCTAGAGAATGAGATTTGGGGTCAGGCAGAACTAAATCCCCGGTTGATCACATACCAGCCGTGACCTTGGGCTTTACCTCTCAAAACCACTTTCTCCATTTGTACAATGGGGATGATAGTAGTGATGGTTAATGAGGAAATACATGTAGGGTGTTAGCCCAGTGCCTGGCATGAAAAGTGTTAGCTATTGCTTTAAAAATTCCTGTGGCATTCACTGGG